CCTTGCCTAGCAGTTAAATAACTCTGCCTTTCCTGTTTTGTGGAATGGCAGCTCTCCTGAAACTCTAGATTAAAAAAGAGCAGTAATTTTGCTTGGAGGCTGCTGCAATCACAGCCTGTGCTCAGCACTGAAGGTCTCCTCGCAGCAGTACCTATAAAATGTGGTCATTATGCACCTTAATAAGAAAAGTTTAAAATTTCATGGTTGAAATGAATTTGGACCCTAATAAAAGTCCAGATAAAATGGAGAGAGCCAGGAGGCTGGAGAGTTTTACAGCTCTAATGTTCTGTCCCATTTCCCAAAATATATTTGTCCAAGTAATACAAACTGTCGCTACAATTAACTTGTCCTTTCATTTCCCTCTCTGAATTCCCTCTAAGCTAAAAACACAATTTTCTTCTATAAATCTGTGTGACAAGTAGAGCAGTAAAATCTCTTTCTTTTTTTTTCCCCCACTTAATTTATATGCATTTTGCATGGATTGAGTTGCCAAGCGCTTTTCCTAAGCTAATTTCTATGGTTGCAAGTGCACAAATCCATACCCGATCACCCCTACAAATCCTGTGGGAGAAGTCCAGTTTGCACAACTGGCCAAGATAAGTCTTATTCATATTCTCAAAGGCAGGAAATATTAAAAATCAGGCACCAAATTATCTGTTCATGGCTTTGCTGCTTGCTCCAAGGAGTGGGCCATGCAGGGTTGTCCTGCTTCCTGGGTCCCCTGCAAAGGGAGGGCTGGGGGGTGCCTTTCGTGACATGCCAGTGGTATAGCCCCCATCTCTCTGGTGCTGGCAGGATGAGTTGGGAGGTGGAGGCTGTGCAAGCCTCCTTGTGTTGGTGTGGAGAAGCCTTTGCCTGGTGTTGCTTTGCCCTGGGCTGGCACAGGCATGTGGCTCACACATGAAACTCTGGCTAAGGACAAGCTGATGACACCCACAGCCAGAACTGAGCCCAAACCTCTAGCGAAAACAGCTGTATCAGTGCACCGCACCACCCCACAGCTGGTGGGGATGCTAGCACTTCTAGCAGAGGATAGTTTTTTCTTGCCCAAATCAAGGAGTGCCACACGGTGAAGTGTGGTGCCCAGGCACTGAGTGCCTCAGGACAGCGGGGAACTCTGATCCTCACCTCTGCAGCGAGCTCTGCTCAGCCTGGCAGTCGCACCTGCAAGAGGTGGACACTAAGAGCAGCACTGTGCCCCCTGCTTGTGCACAATGTCCCTCTCAACCCTTTGTGCTTCATCTGAAATGGTAATTCCTCTTGACCAGGGAAGTAATGACCCCGATACATTATTTCAAATGTCATTTTTTGCAAAAGAATTAATCAGCTTAGTGTGAGGCTGGATTACATTTTAATTTTAATAGTGCTAAAGTCTCGCTGGTTTTTAAATACATTTTTCTGTTCTTTAAATTTCAGCAGGGCAGTATCTCACTTAGTTAGACTGTACCTTGCTGTAATCTCTCCAGACAATAGCCACTATTCAGTGGTCTGGGTATCAGCCTCACCCGTGCACATTTACTTTAGTCCTATTGTCTGCATTAGGGATAATAGCTGAGATTGGGCAGCCGGCACCTCAGAGCCCTTTTATCTTCCATTGTTACATGTGGAGACAATCTTTTCAAAGGCACAAAGGAGGAATTATATGACAAGTTCTCATTTATAGTCAAATGGAGATTGAAATATATACCTGCCGTTTGGGATCTTGAAAATGTGCCCTTAAATGTAATTATTAACATTTCTTCAGTTGTGGGCTGCAGATTGCACAAAAGGTTTCTGAAGCTTATAGCTGTTATTAACAGCTCCATTTCCTCAAGGAGCCTTGCATACTTCAAAGTACTTGTATGCTTCCACTACATTTCTTCCACCTTTTGAGATGCTTTTTATTTCAAATCTATTACAAATGAGGTGTTTATTCAAATCATTTTTCCCTGGGCATTAGCTTGTAGGTAACAGGTCTTCAAACAGAATTAAAACACCATTTTTGAGTTCACACCATGAAATGGAGCCTTCTCCACCCTTTCCATCTGTTATTTTATTACCAGGTTTGATTACAGCCATCAGCACAGTGGATCGTACCCACTGTACAGTAAGTTTAGCATCAGCCTTTCTTGCAAACTTTTCAACACTTCCTTTTCAGAAGGAAAATGAACGTGAGAGAACCCGTAATTTTTGCCAATACCTCCTTTCTTGGCTTTTGGCTAGCAGTGAGAGCCTTCTTTTCCTTACTTCAACATCGTAAGTGTTCTGGGCACAATAAATAGTAATTTGTGTACAATACATTACAATTTCATATATGTACAGTATTTAATATAGGTATATGTGCCAGTGTCTTACTTGGTTATATGCTACCCGCACATATATTACACATGTATGTATATATCTCTATATAGAGTTACTTTCTTTCAAAGACATGATTTGGTTAGAAACAGAAGTACAATGGAGCCAGATGCAGAATGAGCAGGGCTGACATTTTCTCTCTTTATAATTGGAGCAGGTTATTCAGGGCAGTATTCACCAGTGAGCTTTACTCAGAACCCTTGTGCACTTCTGAAAATCCTGTCCTTCAGTAGGTTATTTGTCCAGATGCTTCAAGCTTCACAGAACTGGGCTGTATCCATCAAACAGTGCTCAGAGCCTAGCTTCAGGCACCATTTCTCAAAACATTGGTTGGATCTTGCAACTAGAAGTTAGGCAGTGCTCATAGAGTCTCTTGGAATCCAGGGAAGATGAAAGGTGAAATACATTCTCACCACTATACTTCAAATATTTGTCCTAGCTTCATGCTTAACCACTCTTTTAATAAGCAGAAAACCACAATTCATACGCTGCCTGAAGGAGATGCTTTGGTTTTATTCTTATCTATACTTTCCATCTGTTGTTTTAATGAATAATAAGCTTAAGTGGTGCCTAAGAGAGAGAATATTCTTTTCTCTTTAATAAAAAAATACCTTCCTTGATGGTTTTATAGGCTGTATTTTTGTGTCTGGAAGACACAGACATCAATTTCTGTCAGTTACGCACACATGCATATAAAGTAACAGTAAGGTAGCCTCTCCAAAAGATGTTTATTAGGTAGCATTTAAACGACAGGCAGCACTAGTAACGAGATAATAGGATGTAAAGGACTGTCTTTGTCACTGCATAACTTCTAAGGGAACAGGAGATGTAAAAAACCAAACTGCAAAGTAAACACTAGGATATCTCTTTTTTGTATGCCAGGATGCATTATTTGACAGTGCTCACTTATTGGCTGTTGGGCTACATTTATCTCTAGTTTAATTATGATGTGGGGGAGATACATAGTTTTTTCCAGCTGGACTGATTCAGAGGACACATTGAAGAACTTATTGGTAACTACAAGAAAAACCTTTGAATTCCCACTGGGTGTTCTGCTCAGAAATCATGACTGTGCCACACACACGCTAGTCAAGCAAATTAAGCCCCTCAGCACCTCATGAGGTAGGTAAACATCATTGCTCCCCACTTTCCAGATGGTGGAGAAGAGGCACTGAGAAGTTAAATGGCACGTGCCATGGGTAATGCAGAAACACTGGCAAAACTGCGGACACATGAACCCAGTTTCTCATTCCCCACACCAGCAACTTCACGGTGCAGTTCTACTGCCTTCCCCCAGCCAAGGTCCCTTCCCTGCCCCATCCTACTGCAGCATTGCTTCATTTTATACTGCTAATGCTGAAGAACATACACTGGTTATGTTCAGGCTTTAACCTCTCAAAAGGGAAGTGCTCTGTTTCTTTAGTATTTTTTGTGTGTGTCTTTACTATAGTGATCTCCATCTCTTGATGTGAGAAGTATCCAGGTTTCAGGTAGAAGAAGAATGATGTGTGGTAAATGGACTGGCCTTGTTGATGGCTCAAAAGGACAGAAGTGGCAGTCTGGAATACAGGGCAATGCTTACTTTCAGATGCTGCTCTTCCATGGCTCCTCTTCTTGCCAGCATATTCAGATCTGTATTTTCTTACTTTTATAACCAGACAGACCTCCATTCATGTCAGTTATTATCATGGCCGGTTAAAGGCAACACAGTTGTTAATTTCAGTTTCTCTCATCAATTTTGTTTCCAGTATATCAGTGCAACCACCAGTGTGACTTCAGCAGCAATATTTGAGGCACAAGGGAAAACCTGGTTATTGGTGACAGCCTGGAGCTGACGCCCTCTACCGTCTTCTACATCCATTGAGATACAGAATGTAAGAACCCTTCTATGGTAAGCAGAAAATTCCACATGCCAATAGTCACGGGTTTATTAGTATTTTCATTTGCTTTTCCTTTATTCATGTGATTTATCTGAATCTTCATGGCCCAATCTCAGTCAAATGTACAATTTATCACTGAGTCAGCTTCTAATCTCAGTCCTGGGTCTTCAGGATCTGCCCACCCTTCTGAGTTTCAGCTTGATAACCAAATATTTTGGTTAACATAATCTCTATCACAGCCAAAATGTCACGGTGTTTTCTAAAAACAAGGAGCACACAGACCTGGACATCCTTGTATGTTGCTATCATGTTTCTACATTTGGGTTTTGCTGTCAGTGTTGTCAGCAAAAGAAAGCGAGATACAACAGGAAGAAAAATGGAATGCCAACTACAGAAGATCATTACAATGCTCTCCAGCAGCTTCAAAGCACTTACATCGACGTTGGACCTCACAGTGTTATTCTTGGCCATTTAATCTCTGACATGCCTGTGTTCCTCCAGAGAGAGGTTCTGGCAGACAATTCTTTCTTTATCCAAAATACCCGAACAGAAGGACAGTGTGTTGGTTGGGAGAGGCATATTGGGATATACAGTTTCTCTGTGGGCTGCACTTTCCTCACAAGGATGAGGAAAACTCTTGAAAGCCACCAGTGCTGCCCTCAAAACTGTCTTCAGCTACTGGAAAGAGAAAATCATGGTCCCAGGGATACTGCCTGTTCACCTTGTGCTGACTGTACATGCTTCCAGCTCATTTTAGAGGGCAGCTCTAAAGAGAGACAGCTTCCTGTCTCATTTTAGAGGGCAGATGCTACATACCACATGCTGTGCTCAAGTTATATAGAGAACACCTGTGTAAACCTCCCTGTTTTCATTACCCATGTACCCTAGGAGCCGTCTTCTGTGAATCTGCAGCCTTCTTTGCTCTGCATCATCATCACTCATTACTTCCAATCCAGAATAAACATGACCACGAACTCAAACATACCACCTGCACCGTGTAACCAACCCAGCTGATCCTGGCTAGAAGACTGTCTTAATGGTATTGATTGAGATCCTATCCGGAGAAAGCAGAGTTTGGTCCCTGAAAGGAGGTCTTTAAAAAAAAAAACAATGCCAAAGAAAAATAAAAAAGCAGAGATTTGGAAAGGAAAGGCCACATTTAGGTTCCTTATAGGAGATGCACTCTCCAGACCTTCCCTTGCAAGTTGCATTTGTCTAACCTGTGACAGCCCATGTGAGCACTGTCTCTGGTTGTCCATTGCACAGCAGGCACCACCAGTGTGGCCGTCCCCAAAAGAACATAGAGCACCTTTGGGGTGAATGGTGAGCACATATGTTCAAGTATGAGAAATTACACTTGTCATAAAGCGAACAGGAGCTGGGGTGTGGGCTAGAAAGTAACCAGCACAACAGGTTCCTCCGTGATGTCTGTGCATGGAGTTGCCTGCTGGAGGATGTGTCCTCCCCTTTACCCTCCAAAGAAGCAATAAAATAATCAGTTTTCTGGCTTTTCATCCAGATTAGGCTGAAAAAGAACTAACAAAAGAGAGTTCTGTAAATGCCTTCTGCTTCACTCATTGCAGTGACTTAGCTAAAGACAGACCAATATATCAAATTGAAAAATATATAAGTGCCTGGAAATATTAATCTTGAGTATTTATCAATTGCATGAGTGTTCTGGATGATGCGCAAGCCCACATGGCCCTTCAGGCCTCTCTTCCTTGATGAATTAGATTCATTGCTCATAGTTAAGTGCACAACCATCTTTTCTTGTTTTTCTTCCTCTGGGACCATCTGGTTTCTTGTATATCCTGCCAGGCTGTTGGCATCAGATTCACTGTAGTTTCCATCCAGCATCATAGTTTTTGCATGAGGTATTCCACATGTACATGGAAACTAGAAACATAAACAAGAAATATAGTTGAACTTTGAAAGAACACTTTAGCAACACAAATGATGCCTTTTTATTAACAGACAGCTTGTAAACAGTTGAGCTTGAAATTTTAGTTCAGATACTCTAAGTTTCTCTTTAAACATAAAAGTCACTTGGGTTTTTTTGCTTCTGTTCTGAAAGGAAGAGACGTGGCTTAGCTACACTGCTTGGACAAGAATCTTCACAACACATTAGAAAATGCTTTAGGAGATATAAAAACTAGCCAGGCTTTTTTTTAGCTAGCTCTCTTCAGCCTTGCTGGCTTGAGATGCCTTATTTTGCAGTCTTTGTGTTTATAAACATTCAAGGACAAAATGCATATTTATCCATGGAAATGGCTTATCTAGTACATGTTAGGGGGGGAAAAGGGACAAGTTCTAGTTTTGCAGATACGTGTTTTCTCTGTAAGTCTGATTTTAAACCAAGGAAAGGACCAAATTAAAAGCCTAATGTAAAATCCCTGTCCTGTTGAAGCTAATGTCAAAACTTGCACTGAGTTCAGCAGCACCAGCATGCGTTCTAGAAATTGAAAAAACCCCAGTGAATACAGGTAGAATTTTGAATAGCAAATTCTGTCTTCTACTGATTAAAATCTGCAGGTTTTCCATCCCAGCAATATGGACTATATATTTGTATTAAATGAAAATGGATTCCAAAACCTCCTTCCTGATGGGAGTTTCTGTCTCTGATTCCCCAGAGGCTGCTTTCCTTACCAAAAATTACTTTGTCCTCAATTCTCTTCTCCACCAACTTTGGTGTGTGGGTTTCCCAAGGACTTGTTTTTAAGTTCAGCTAAACTAATTAAACATGTATACACAGAAACGTATATATCCTGGATATACAGATACAGATACAGAAAGTATTTATGCGTGAATACTTAATATTTGGGATGGCACTGAAAAACTCTGCACTCAAGGGTTTTTCTTCAAAGTATTTAACCACCAGAAGAGTTTACTGAAAACCTGGAAATCAACTTAATAATTGGTTTCTGTGTTCTAGTCAAAACAAAATGATATGGTATCAGCAGATTGTGTGCAGGAAAACATTACAAGTTTGCAGCCCATTTGCTCTACTTGTCAGACCCATCAGTCCAGGAATTTCTTGGAGCACTCCGTGGGAACAGCTGAACACCCGTTGGGTTCCAAGACGTATTTTTTAATAAGCAGGTGTACCTCAAATAATACCAAACCAGAACCACAAAAACAACACAGGGAAGAATTACATCAGGCTCTTTATCATCAAATGATGACAATGATGACAGGTCCAGGAGATGGTAGGTGGGTGGGTGGAAGGGAAAGCTGTTAACAGCAATAAGCTCATTGCTGTAGGACCCAACACAGAAAGAAACTCTGCAGATTTCCTCTTAACCCTCAGGTCAAATTACTGTTCCTGTGGCTTCACGTACATGTGGTAACAGTCACCCTTATGGACAAGGGAGCCTAACATACCGGAAGCCCACCTCCACAGAGTCTTAAATCACCCTCATCTTCACATAGGTGTATACATGTAGAAGTATGCTACATAATTTCACCCTGCAGCAATTTCAGTCTATGTCTACACTAATAAGTTAAGCACTGCCAAAGAGCCTCCCTGGGCATGGGAACTCAGCTGACAATCCTATCAGAGTGTCAGAATTGTGCCTGTCCTGAATGTCCAGGAACCAAAAGATTCCCGTGTACAATCTGGAATAAGCACAGACCACAGACTATTTGCCACAGACAATTCACAGCAAGCTCTCTGATATAGACCGAAAGAAGGGTTAGTTTTAGATACTAAGGTTTTAGTTTAAATACTCCTTGGTCCCAGGCACATTTAATTTCTTAACGTAGACATACACAGAGCTTTTCTCTCAGCAGCCTAACATATTCATATTAAGATTTGTGGGGTCTTTGATAGGTGAGCAGCATTGCCTGACAAGATCTACATTTACAGTGAGATATGTCTCGTTTCTTCAAGAGCACTCACCTACATTTTGCTTCAGTCTTTTCAAATAATGCTGCTTATTATCTCTGTTCCCACTACCATCACTGAGGATTAATATTGTCACCCGCTGAAGACTGGATAGAATACTGTATCTTGTGTAGTAAAAACTCATTTTCTGAATACAGAATTCAGTGCCCAAGACTCAATAAAGGGCAGATTTGTGATAAAAATAACACCACTGGATATGGGAAAACATTCCTGAAAACTCTGCAGAAGAGTAACACACTCTCGCAGTTCATCCCAACACAGTTAAAGACGAAGGAGAGGGAGGGTGGCCTATAAAAATAATACAGGTTTATTCTAGGCAAGTCAAACTTAGAAAGGAAGATTTCTGTTATTTCCTGTGTACTGTCAAAACACCATCTTCTTTGGACATGGGAAGTCTGAGCAGGGAGACCACTGCTTACAAGTAAGACACACTTGGCTTCAACTGCTTACATAGGGCATTTCCACCTTGTGCTGCAGAGAACTGCTGGGCCCTGGATGAGGACTAGGATGGGGGGGAATAGACAATCAAGCTACCCAGGACCTGTTCAGGTAGCTTTCCAGAACCACAGTTGTTGAGAAGGCCTTGGAGAGGCCTTAAATGTATTCCAATCACTTTTTAAAGTTTATCTAACTAAATTTTTGCTGAGATGTCAGCTAGGAAAGGTATTGGGCTGATAGGTTGCCTATTCTGTACTTCACCAAAGTCATAGGAAGAAGTGCAAGGGCAAGAGGAATTGCAAAGCCAACAGAGCAGTCCAAAGAGGGAAATGTCAAATCATATTAAAGTGGATGTCTGCATTGGCATTTATGAAAGGCTGATACCAGGAGTCAAAAGCAGTAGGTGACTAATGTTACCTTTGAACTAATGTGGGGTGTTCCTAATTGGAAGAAAGAAGCTGTAAAACATGGTGATGTTCCGGGTCTGTGGGGACATAAAAAATTTGGTCCCAAGCCCTAATGTTAATGCTCAGAAAGTGATGGTGCTTAATTACAAGGAAGTGGGGCTCACAGATCTGTAGGATAATTCAGGCTGGAAAGGACCTCAGGTGATCTCTAGTCCTGTCTCCTGCTTACAGCAGAGCCAGGCTGCTCAGGGCTGCTTGTCAGGTCTTGGAAAACTCCAAGAAGGCAGGACGAGACCAACCATAGCACATTAAAAAGTACAAGCGTAAACTCGGTTGAGTGATGTTTGTGTTTGGTAAAATGGGGTGCAATTCCACTATTACATCCATTGGATTCAGTTTCCAGACTAGAGCTGATGGTAGAGGGAGGAAATTAATTTGCTGTGAATAACAGCTCTAGCTTAAAAATACAGGAATTGTGTCAGCTGCAGTGAAGGGTCAGATTTGATGCTTTCCTCGGCTGTCATCCACACACAGCTCCACACTGCAGTCTTCCCAGTTCAGATCACACCCTTCTCTGAACTTTCTATGAAGACCTATGAGACCACCTCCGTTTTTTCTGATGTTAGCAGTTCAGTTTGAGGTGAAGTGGCCTAAGATCCAATTATATACACACTGATGTCGGTGTTTCCCATTTGTAGATACAAATATAAACACCAGACCAACTGTAAGAAAAAAAAAGTGTGAACAAAAACTCTTCTCACCCTGTCCCGCAGTTTCCTCTCCTTCCGCTCCTGCACCGTAGTCAGGTAATTCACAGCTGCGTATTCCAGCACCGAGAGGAAGACAAACACAAAACTGACCCACAGGTAAATGTCCACTGCTTTGATGTAGGAAACACGAGGCATGGAGGCATTCACCCCAGTGATGATCGTGGACATGGTCAGCACAGTGGTTATCCCTGGAAAGAACAAACAGAAATTAATATTATGGACTGCTGCAGCCCATAAGGCTTTTGTTTCAAGAAAAACATTCTCTAAGAGATGTTAGATATGAAACAAATTTGTTCTGCCGGTTCAGAACTGTTTCACTGCTTTCACTTCTGTGTGCAATGATTGGGTTTAGTTTTGAGGAGCAACAGAGCAGCCATAATTTTGCTAGGAGCTACCTTTAACTCCCTCACTAACATCTTGGGTTTTAGCACAGTGCTTAGGGTCAGGTCTGCTAAGACCAGTGGTGAGGACTCCTGTTTGCTATCTGTACCAATCTGTGTTACAGGCACTGCTAGAAAGCAACCTAGTGTTTTCTGATCACAGCTAAAGAGGACTTGGTCTAAATCACTGATCTGAAAAGGAAAGTGCAGTAATGATGAAATGTTTTGCATGAAACCATGGAAAAGCAAAGCATTATGTTTTTACCTCTAGGAATATTTGTCTACAGTTCAAGCTGTGGGAATCAAAGTTTTGAACAGCTATGGGATTATGCATCCAGATGAGCCTTGGGTGAGGTGGTTTAGTGTGAGTATCTCTGCCCAGGGCAGGGGGGTTGGAACCAGATGATCTTAAGGTCCTTTCTAACCCTAACTATTCTATGATTCTATGTGTCCATGTGTATGTGTTTATTAACATATGTATTTATGCTTATGTACATGTATTTATGCTTATATACATATGTATATGTACATGCATTTATACTTATATACATATTTATGTGTGTGAAGATGTATATACATACACATGTGTATGTGTGTATACATTTAGGCAAATAAAGTCCTGCAAAATAGTATATACTTCGGCTTGCTATGGAGAAAAAAAATTTACAAGTTCCAAAAGACACTTAAATAGAGAAAACAGAGCCAAAAAGCAACCATACCTACTGCAGCCACTTCAGAAGTGAGCACTGTAAACTCAGCTACTGTTGTTGCCCTTGCATCAGGATCTAAGTTATTGATTTTTAATAATATCCACTGAACACATTTCTCTCAGTGGAGCAGACTCCCCACTGCCTCTTCTCATGTGCTTGCTGCAGCGCATAGCTCTCTAAGAGAGCCAAATTTGTGGGCTAAAATACTGTGTTTGCACTTTGAGTATTGGAAGCCTTACATATTAACATTCAGAGATCTTTCCTATTACATTTTTGCCTTTCTCTAACCTATGCATGCAGTGATAAACAAATCAGCTCTTTTATGCTCAGCTGATAGAATTTCCTCCAATCCTGATGTAAGCAAAGCTCCTTCTGATGGGCTTTAGTAGTCTAGATATATCCGGAGAGGCAGATTGGTGTTATATTATATTAACTATCAGATAATGCAAACATATGCTTGCCCAACATCCTTAACCATCAAAATGAACAGTTTCCTTTCCTGCCAAAGCTGCCACATTCAAAGACTTTCACGCAGTCATGTCTTGTTGCAGTTGTTCTCACCCAAAGAGACTCTGGCAGGAACTGCTCGTCGGTCGATCCAGAAGGACACCCAGGACAACATGACCATGAGGGTGGCGGGGAAGTAGGTTTGGAGCAAGAAGAAGAAGATGTGTCGGCGTAAAGTGAAGTTTATATAGAGGCGATTGTACCACCCTTTGAGACAATAGAAAAGCCAGAATTAGTGAGAACAGCCTGGCTGGTAGGCACATAAAGGAAAGATCTTTCCATTGATCTGTTATTTCTAAGGGGTAGTAAAAAGAGAAATTGATCTTTCAAAACACGTATTGTACAGACCATGAAGACTGCATTTCAGTGACATACAATTCCAAGAACTCTCTAGAAGTAGTCAATACAGCATTAGGCTTAGCAATAGCATTAAACAGAAAAAAGCAATACCTGTGCTACTGTAGAAAGCCAGTCTTGATGTAGTGTGGAATTTTTGTATTAGAAACTGAGACAAAGAAATCTTTTCATCAGTTTTCAGAGATTCATTCCCATTTTTCCAATACAGCATCAGATCTTCATCAGTGTAAGCATCTTAGGCAAAGAAGAAACATGATCTGATGTGACTTTAGCTTGGAGGGGGGGAACAAAAGTTACTAGATTCAGTCAAAATTAACAAACACGAACACAGAGAATGGATTCAGAGCAGCCATGAGGAGAAGGCCTTGGATGTGTTGGTGGACAAAAAGCTCAACATGACCAGCAGTGTGTGCTTGCAGCCTAGAAATCCAACCACATGATGGGCTGCATTTGATTTACTGAGGTGAGTAACTCCAGAGAGGATGCCTTCAACAAATGGCAGGGAGGTTGGAACTACATGATCTTCAGGTCCTTTCCAACCCTAACTATTCCATGAAAAGATGTGTGACCAGCAGGTTAACGGAGGTGATTCTCCCCCTCTGCTCTGCTCTTGTGCTCAGATCTGGAGCCCTCAAAACAAGAAGGACATGGACCTGTTGGAGTGAGTCCAGAGGGGGGCCATGAAGATGGTCAGAGAGCTGGAGCACCTCTCCTATGGAGACAGGCTGAGAGAGTTAGGCTTGTTCAGCCTGGGGAGGAGCAGGCTCCAGGGAGACCTTAGAGCAGCTTCTAGTGCCTAAAGGGGCCTACAAGAAAGTTGGACTTTTTACAAGGGCATGTAGTGACAGGGCAAAGGAGAATGACTTTGAACTGACAGAGAGCAGGTTTAGATTAGATATGAGGAAGAAATTCTTCACTATGAGAGTGGTGAGGCACAGGCACAGGTTGCCCAGAGAAGCTGTGGCTGCCCCATCCCTGGCAGTGTTCAAGGCCAGGTTGAATGGAGCTTTGAGTAACCTGGTCTAGTGGAAGGTGTCCCTGGCCATGGCAGGGGGATTGGAACCAGATGACCTTTAAGGTCCCTTCCAACCCAAACCATTCTGTGATTCTGTGCAGAACAAAAGGGCAAGAGGACTGTTTGTAGAGGAAAATTTCAGTGAAATAGCTGGGAGGACCTCAAAACAACCTGATGTTGGTCTTGGCACACGCTGGAGAAAGTTTACAGAACAGCCACAAAAATCTCACCGCTTACATCACTTTCTCCACAGAACAATTCCTTGTCAAAGAAGCTGAGCCCAGGTCACAGTGTTTGCAGTATCAGAATTTTACCATACATAAAGCACATTGGTGATGAAGTTTAGAGGAAAAGCAATGATCATTACAACCACCTGTGACATTTATCTCACTTTCAAGTGTCATTGTGTTACTTGAAAACATCACCTTTCCAGCAGAAACAATGAACAGAGCAAAACTTCTCCCCCAGATTTCCCATCAGGAAGTTGCTGAGAACCAGTATATGTTGAACATTTCTGTTGGTGGGTTTGGAGGTTTTCTTTTAAAAAGTGCCATCTACTAAAATTAATGAAGGATGATTTCGTTGCAAATTCACCTGCCTTGCAGCATAAGGGCTAGATATACAACACAGTAAGTCAATAGGAAGACTGTTAGTAACCCTGATGAACTACTTTTTCAAGCTCTAAAATAGACTGCATTCTGAAATGTGTCATTTGTGTTCGTGCAGCCACCCATGGAGTACATTTAGCTAGAAACACAGGTACCACGTACAGCTTTCCAGCTCCAGAGAACACGTCTGAGAGTCCAAGGGGAAGCGGCTGAAGTCCATGTTGCACATTGCTGTCACTGTGATCCTAGAAGTTAAAAATGAGAGAAGTTGGTTTCCATGAGGAGCAATAAGGGAGAATGTTATCATAAAAAAAATAAAAAATCATTCTGCAGCTTTAAGGCCAGTAATTATGTATAATGTTAGCATAAAACCCCCAGGAAAATGCCCACCAATTCTCCAAGACCAAGCAAGTTGTATTATACAAAGAAACTCCAAAGGAAGCTGTAATTTCAATGTCTATCAAGGAACTAAAGCACTATCTCGGGTATTAAAGTAATACTAATGTCAGTACAGATATTTCCATTGTATTTCATATCCAGCTATTTCCCTACAGGGCAACAACATAAAAATAACATCACCATTTACATTCAAAGGGTTTTTTTATGACCACTTTGATTAAAGTTTCCTGATTTCCGCCATTGCTCAGTTCCCTCTGTAGTCACCCCAACGATGACACAAGCCTGAGGAACACGACCATCCTCACTGCACGCCACAAAATTCCTCCACTACGTACATTATTAAGGCAAAGGCAGTTTCTTTCAGTCCTTGAGCAAATTCTTCTAATCTGGGGGGTGTATTCCTGGGGCAAGGAGTTAAAATGGGTGCAGGTGCCTTTCAAAAGGTGAGATATTTTTTGCCTCTGTTAAATTCACGTCTTAGCTAAAGAGCTGCAGTGTTATTTGCTCCAGTTTGTAAATCACTCCAGTCGTGCACAACATTACATAAGTTTTCCAGTGGGTCAGTGAACTTGCTCTTGTGGACAGATTTGCAGTGGAGCTCCTGATTTAGTAGAGGCAAATCAGCTGTGAGTCATCATTTCAGAGCCCGACATATGTTGGCTGGGACCATTTTTTAGATTCACTGCAGACGTTGATAAAGAAGCTTTCTTTTTTGCACCTTTTTCTGTTCCAGGAATTGTGATCCAAACCCTACTCTGACCCTGCACGCTCATCCCCCCCAGAAGCACACGCTGTTCATTTTGACTATAAAACTACAACAAAATTTTGCCAGATGAATATATCTTAAAGAAGCTCCATCCCTGGCAGTGTTCAAGGCCAGGTTGGACGAGGCCTTGGGTAATATGATTTAGAGCGAGGTGTCTCTGCCCATGGCAGGGGGGTTGGAACTTGATGATCTTAAGGTCCTTTCCAACCCTAACTATTCTATGATTCTATGGTTCTGTGATATGCACAAGAAGGAATTCTGGAGCAATGACCTCTCCCAGTTGTGTAGCATTTCAGCATCATATAACTCAGCCTCATTACAATGTGCTATTTTATTTCCTCAGGGTCACCTAAACTGTGGCATAAGCTGTGGGCATTAACAACTTGTTAGTCAAGGACAGCACAGAAACTCAACTCATCAACAAGATATTCCTCAATTAAAGTAGAGCCAAGGCACAAATGAGGAATTAAAAGTCCCTCAGCCCAGTGCCATCCCCATGAAGAGGTCTCAAGACAGCTGAGGGCATTTTCAGAACCACTGAATACCCATGCTTGGTCAGCTGGATCAGGCTCTGAGTGTCCTAACACACCACCAGGCCCAAATAGCATGCAGATTCTCATTCTGCTTGGATTTTATGTATCAAATTATCCACTTAACTCTTGCGCAGCCAGCTGTGGTTAACTTACATCTTTGAAACTGGAGACTGGCCCACTTCTGGGGTTATATATACACACACTTTATTAATCACAGGTATATTGCTAGCGGTGATTTTGTGGTAGTTTACTTGCTAGTGGTGATCTTTGTGGTATTTTTGGTAATCTGTGATAAGGTAGAGAAGTTCAGGGGATTAACTTCATGTCCTTGTGTATTACAGAGTCCTGCAAGCCCACAGTCACAATCTGTATACACCCGCAGGCCAGGTAACCCTTCAGGTCACGACAGATGTGCCTCAGGATTCTTCCAGCACACGGATCTGCTAGAAAACCAGGGATTGTAGGGTGTCTTTAACAGTCATTTCAGTTTCAGTAAATGTAAACCTTTACATCAACGTGCAAACGCCAAAAAAATAGAAAGGAAAAGGAAAAAAAAAAAGCTTCTAAACAGGAAGCAAAATAAGATAATTATAGAGGTCACCATCTGGTATATCATCAGCTTCCAGTTTAATCACACACTGACCCCGGGACAAACATTCCTGCTCGACTAAGCTCTCCTCTGACTGCAAACAGCTGGGGGGAATGCTTTCCCTGCGAGGAGATTATCCTGTAACTGCCCACAGCATGGTTTCTCGCAGCTTCCCGTGGAGCATTTTGCACTGGACATGCTGGAAACAGGGATTTGCATCAGCAGTGGGAGTAACAGGGCTGGCAGTAGCAGTCCTGGTGATCACCGAAGTCATGCTGGAGCAGAACTGACAATGAAGCCCCAGGGGATGCTCAGGAGGGCTGCACCGTTACCTCATGCTGTAGAGGACATGACCGTCAGGGAACACACGCAGCATGATGTTGTCTGTGGTGGTATCATGGATGAAGGACCTTTTGGAATGCACAAAGAAGACGTCAGGGACCCAGATCTTCTTCACCAGCCTGCCATCGAAGGTCATGCTCTTGTTGGTGGTGCTGGGAAATGAGAGACGCTCATCCTTCCAGTAGTGCCTTAAGTACAGAGTCATAGTGAAATCCTTCGCAAGAAAGGAAGAGAACCAAAGGGAGGTCTGTCAGTGTTGCTCTTTCCATCTAGGAAACACCAAAAGAAAGCTCACTCCTACCAGGTAGATGAAATCCCTCCCCTCTAAACTTCGGTTTGTTCCCTGGTCTTTGTGGATAGATTTTCCTGACAAAATAATTTCAGCTAAAACAAAACATAACCAACCAATGGATGTATTACAGTGCCCAGTAATGTTCAGTCCCAAAAGGAGTATAAATAAGCCCCAAGAGAAGCAGTCCCCTGAGGAAACAATTCTTCAGTCCTGGCAAAATCATCTTGAAGGACTATGTTATCAATAGCATGCTCAGAATTAGCTCAATGGTCAGGCTAAACAGTATGCAATTTACCCCCGAAGGAACTCAACTGTTGCAAAGAGCAACTAAATGAGGGAACTGTTTTTCCTATGATACAAATGTATAAATAAATCTCCTTTTTAAGCTCACTGAGGGAGGAGGAGCTCCAGTCACACAAAGGAAAACATCTGTTAGTTGATCCCAACCTGGCAGCTGCTTGCTTGCAGAGCTGAATCTACTCTCTCATGCTGAGAGGTCAAATACACTTGTTTTCTTTATAGTCCCAATTAAGTGAGCGGTTATGGGAGCCACAGCTGCCAAGTCCAGGCAGGCAGCAATCCCAAGGGCTGGGATCTCTTCCTAAACACACAACAACTGCTTTCTGAAACCACCACCTGATTTTGTTTTGTCAGTGACAAACCTTTGGTTAAGCTGACTCTCTATTTCAAAGGGCTGCCTGGCAACAGTCTTGTGTTGCCAATAGGTTTTCATGGATTTGTCAAAGAAGTTTATTGTCAGCCCTCAGTTTGCTGCCCTGCAAGGGGCAGAGCAGGCCAGACACCTCCCCCTCTGACCATGGCAGAAGGAAAGTAAAATATAATCCTAATAATAAAAGGAAAAAAGAGAGAGGGGAATAAAACCCCAGAAAGATGAATGATGCACAATACAATCGCCCACCACCCAGTGACCGGTACCCAGTACCCAGCACCCAGCCTGACTCGAGCAATGATCAGCCCCTTCTGGGTAACTGCCCCCAGTTCATACATTGGCCATGACACGCTGGGGTACGGAATACCCCTTTGGCTAATTTGGGTCAGGTGTCCTGCCTCTGCTTCCTCCCGGCTTCCTGTGCCCCTCCTCACTGGCAGAGCATGAGACTGAGAAGTCCTTGGTCAGAGTAAGCATTACTGAGCCACAACTGAAACATGGGTGTGCTACCAGCATTGTTCTCAGACTAAAGCCAGAACACAGCACTGCACCAGCTACTAGGAAGAAAATTAACTTTATCCCAGCCAAAACCAGGCCAGCCAGGCAGCTGAAATGCCTCTGGGCAGCTCCATCATCAGAGCACAGTGGGACAAGAACCAATGTGGCATCAGTCAGACATCCCTTAGGAAGCAAGCTTTATAACAAACTGAGGGAATGGCAGTACCTGCTGAAGGCACAGCAAATGAGCATATACAGGTGCCCAGGCACTACTTGGCATGCATCCCCCCACATCCTCTCTTTCAGTATCCAGGCAGGCAAGCTTCCTTGCTTTAATCAAGATGTTCACCACAGTAATAACTCTCATCTAAAGCTCTTCCTTTAGGTCTTCATGTCTTGTGTAGACTAGTCCCTTCCCTTGCTGAGAACACTTTGAAACCTGTTGAGAGTTAGCAACTTCATATGTTTCTTCCTCCTTTTTATTTAATAAAGAAACAAAGATATTAAATCACAACTGAACTTGGTGCAAATTTCCTGCACAGCATCATTGGTGACTGAAAGCCTGCTCCCACACACCAAATTCCACTGTGGCAGAGGCAGTTCAGGCACTCACGCACCCTGGTGAGGTTACTCCCAGCGATGAAGAAGGAGCAGCTCCTCCTCATTGATGTTGCCAGCTTAATCTTCTAGTGTGCCTCCCAGAGCTCTGCATTTTAACCAAATGGACTCAACTGTTCCCTAAGGAAGAAAACTCTTGCAGTGAGCGTGGCTTGTGTGAACTTCACCATGTCCCTTCAAACCTTCTGAGGCAGCCGCTTGGATTTTTGGTTGTGATAGATCCTTCATAGCACTGATTATTCTCCCAGTTAAGGTCCCTTTTTCTATCATACTTTTGATCCTCACCTGAAGATACAGATGAGCCTTTGTGCACCTGGTGTTATCAAGTATTTGGCTCTATCACCCTCTCTGAATTTGCCAAATGCTGCCATTATTTTCACCCAACCAATAGTCTGACACGCACAGATTTCAAGTGGGAGGGACTTTTCATGACTAGAAATAACTGAGACTGAAAAGAGGATTACGCACCATGTCAACCTCAGAAATACTGTCCAAGCTCTCAACTTGCACATCCACCCCAACAGGAATTGCAGGGCCTGTAGAAGAATGAGATTTAGATATGTAAATAGCTGCTCTTTTATGTAATCTGTCTTTAACCAGCACTATGAGGTGGCATGGCAAACGTTTCTGAACTTACATTATTCATTTCTGTCCATGATTCTTCATGTGGGGGCTGGAGGAAGAGTCAGTGAGTAAACACGTAAGGCCCCTTTGAAACACTGCATTATCTTCCCCTTGGCATTTGCTGCAACACTGACGCTCTGCCCAGCTAATCCAGAGCCTGGATGAAATGTTTGCATATGTTTATAAAAACTGAGCCATCCCACCATAAACCTGAGGCCTTTATGAACAAATTTAGCCCAAGAACAGGCGACTGAGAAGAATAAACTGCAAGCAATGAGCTCTTCCTTGGGGGTTTCTCATTTCCTATCAACAAGGCAAGTTACATTAATCCTTGAAGAGCCCACCACCATTTTGATCCATATGCCCTCACTGATATTATTACTTTTACAAAGCTTTGAAATTAGCAACTAGAGAATTCACAAAGATTAAATAAGCATAAAATGACTTGTAATAAATACACACTCCTTTATTACTAGAAACCCTGTATCAAAATTTCATTGTAGACTGCTGCTCAGCACCACCAATTCCAATTTAAATGACTGTTGCCCCCAGCAATGAAGCCAGAACATGGCTAACCCAGCACTCTTAGATGGCTTTCAGAGACCATATAGCAGCCCTCAAGTACACGAAGGGGTCTACAGGAAAGCTGGTGAGGGGCTTTTTACGAAGCCAAGTGGTGACAGCACAAGGAGAAATGGCTTTAAACTGACAGAGGGGAGATTGAGATTAGATATTAGGAAGAAATTCTTCCCTGTGAGGGTGCTGGGGCACTGGCACAGGCTGCCCAGAGAAGCTGTGGCTGCCCCATCCCTGGCAGTGTTCAAGGCCAGGTTGGATGGGGCTTGGAGCAACCTGGTCTGGTGGGAGGTGTCCCTGCCATGGCAGGGGGGCTGGATCTGGATGATCTTTAAGGTCCCTTCCAACCCAAACCATTCTGTGATTCTGTGATTCACTGACTCCTAGATGCTTACAAACACTTATGTATCACATTCAGACACACAGTTCTGCACTTCATGCTTGAAAAAATGCCAGCAAATGTTTGCTCATTCCTATTGGCATCTTGGTGGTGTCTGTCCAAGCTGCAGAGTGTTTGTGAGAAGACTGACTTGGGGAGAAATTCCAATTAATCAGCACTCCAGTGTTTCTCAAGAGCCCAGAGACTTTGGTAAGGTTTTTCACTCCCATTACATGAGCCTATCTTGCTTTCTTTCAGGGGCTGATTTATTACAAGGAATCACTGGAGGCCAAGGAAATTCTCACCCTGGCAGCGTTCAGTTTCCCTTCCTCCAGGTATTCCCTGAAACTCACAAAGCCCCAGTCTGCACCCACTGACGAAATGCAGAACAGGTTGTTACAACCATGTCTAGCAGCAAGGCTGAGAAGTGCTGAAGATTGCTTCCTTCTTACACACAGGGTTTCACAACCCAGGTGTGCTCGTTCAGCAGGTGAGAACAGTCTTCAGACCCCTCCCCAGGTTACACAGAGAATGACTCTGAGCAGAGGGTGAAGCTGCACAGAGGAGCAGACTGAGGTTACTGTGGGACCTGCTGTAAGACTGTTCAGCTCACTGACCCACCAAAAATTAACCCAGCCACAACAAGCAGCAGCAATTGGGCTGTTTACTTCCAAGACAGTGACTTGAATCAGCCCAGGTGGCCTGTCAGGTGGCCAAGTATGGCCATCAGGGCCAGAGGAGACAGGTGGGGAGGGGGTGGCTGGTCAGAGAGCCCTCTGCCTTTGACGGCACCAGCTCAGCTCCTGGGACCGTAACTGCCTGGGGCTCTAGGTGCTTTGCCAAATTCCCCATCAAATTCCACCAGGGATGAGCAAACAAAAACCTCTTTATTGACAGGGAGCAGAGGATGAGGAAGGTTCAAATGGGAAGGGAAACAAACAGCTGAGATAGTATGTGACACACTAATAGGTAGCCTAGATTATATCATTAAATGTAAAAAAGCCCTCATCAGCTACCTTTTCCTTATCATAAACAATATTTTATCAATATTAATTCTTTCCTCAGAGAGAGGAAATAGAGAAGGATCAGCTTGAAGAATTACAAGCAGCGAAAGACCTGAATACTGGACCACTGGAGAACTCTCAAAGCTCAGTGTCTTCTCTAGGATGTTCATTGCTGGGTGGGAAGGTATATGGATCCTTGTGAAAGCTGTGGAGAAGAGGAAGCAGTGCTGCTTTGCTCAAAGACTGGAGCCCAGCAGAGCTTTTCAGCTCATACTTCAAGGTCTCTGAAAAGTGTCAGGCAAATTCATGCGATTATTCAAATTAAATTTGAGCTCAAGTATTTATAGATCAAGGTCTAGAAAAAAACCTATATAACCTTCAAAGGAAGCATTTCTTCCAGAAAACACGTCAACATCCATTATCTCCATCACTGTCACAGCCATATCTTGCAGAACACACATCCTAATTCATCAGGACTCATACAACCAGAAAGCAAACCCCGCACTCCTAAAGAACTTCATAAAAGTCACAGAATTCCACTTGCAGCATGGAGATGAACCCACCAATAAGCTATTTCCCTTGCATCTCAGCACAGTGGCAGCTTATAAGCAAGCAAAAAACACTTGCACAGTCATTAATAAAATTGACGATACAGAAGCTGGAAATAGAAAAGAGGAGACTTTCCTTCTGAAGGAGATACTCATACTTGCAGGTTGAGAGAGGATTTAAGTGACCTGAAGCACAGTCTGGGGCTGATGGGAGCGCTTGTGCTTTCTGTTTTATTGGGCAGTATGCATTAGCCCCTCAATTTCTGCATAAGATTTACCTGTGACATGATGCAGCACCCTTGCATCTTCTTGCTGTAAACTGCATCACCTGCCCAAACTGCATCAGTAAATTCTTGCTTATCAGTGTCCTTGCCTCAATATTTTGAGGCAAGCACAGTAAGACAGAGCCTTATTGCCTTGAGGAAAGGCAGTACTGGATTTGAAAATAGTTTGAATAATTTTGAATAGCTTGATTTAAAAACTGGGGTATCAAAAACATACTCAGGAGCCAGCCTGTCAGAGTGCTTGTGGCTTTGTGGGTCTTTATTTCTTTGCCAAGTTCACAGCCGGCTGTCCTGAGGATCAGCGGCAAGAGTATTCCCTCATTTCTCTTTCCCCTGCAGTAAGCTGCTCTGTTTTGTGACAAACTTTCCAGTGAAAGCCGTTACTTATTCAACTTAGGTGCTGCATGTAGAAAAGGTGAAGTTCAGAATACTTTTAGAGAAGACCCATTCTGCATTCCGTGGTTGTACAAGGAGAACAGACAGTCCCAGCAACTCTCCGTTTTGGGTGGGTTCTGGCACTGACAAGACTTTGTGGCTTGTGGCTTGTTTCTCCTTGCAAAAACTCCAGTTTGAATGCCAAACTCTGCCCCGGGCTAAATGGGACATCTGGTCTGGGGCTGCCCCCTCCAGGGAACACAGGAGGTTTCCACAAGTCCTGCTCAGGAATGACTGAAGATGGTGCCCAGCATCAAAGCCTGTCACATCCCAGTGTGTCTCAGCACCTACACCCACCCACTGAGGAGCAGCAGGAAAGCTGCAAAGAGTGAATCAGGTCCCAGACAGGAACAGGTACTGGACACAAGCATGGGTTTTATTTTTAACAGGCTTTGGAAGATAGGGAAGAGCGTGTACCATGGAAATGCCTGGAGTCAGTTTTCCACTCCAGCTCTGAGACTAAACCTTTGTGACATCTCTATTTTTTCTCTTTGGCAGTGATTTCAAAGGCTCATTGTTTCCTCTGAGACAGCCTCTCTGTCCCCTCATCTGTCTCTGAAGGAGTGAGGCAGATGTAGGCCCTGAGATAAAAATATCTACGTGGGAAACCAGCAGGTTTTGAGACTTCTTTGCTGCCAGATATTTTGTGTGCACTCGGAGAGGCTTGTAAATGTCCATAAGAGATCCATGCCTGCAAGCTGCAAAAGCCTTCAGTGTTTCTGCACGTATGTGTGTGTTTGTGTATACATTTCTTTTTTTAATGTACGCATATACATATGTATATATATGTTTAGGACCTCTTGGGTGTGGGTGGCTTCAAGGCAGCCACCACTGAGATGTGCTCATTAGCTGCAGAGAGCTTCTTTCCTGTCTCTCTCTGACGGCTGGTCATCCAGGGAGAAGCAAGCTTTATCCCAGCCCTTGATATGAACACTAAGTGAACTATATATGATCTGTTCACCCCACTGCTCATCCATCCTGACAAAAACACTGCCCAGAAAGGGCAGCAAGGACCAGCTGATGTTAGGCTATTAGGCTACGAAGAAATATAATAGAAGTGCAGCATTAGGCTGCTCCTCAACAAAGAAGATACAGCTATTTTAAGTATCAACTAAAGCCGCTTATTCACAGGCTCCCTGTAAAATATGAGATGTCATAGATGAAATGCTTAAAATGGATGTTTAAGGAAGACAGCAAAACAAACATTTACATAATCTTTAAATATTAATATTTGTAAATAATACCTGAACATCTGCTAGCTAGAACAAGGTCACTGACATGGAGATAACTCCATAAGGGTCAAAACAACTGCTGTCCATTCTAGCGTATGGAGGCTACTTTGAACGTCAGCAAAGCAAAAAACTTTGTTATTCCCACCGTACCCAATAGCCTGTCTCTAATGGGCTGAAAGCAGGCAAGGCATCCATGCTTACTGGGTTGTTAATAACACAACTTACACAACATTTGCTTGCTCACTTGCAAACATACTTTTTCTTGAAAACCCCTTCACCTTTCTCTAATGTTTTTCCTCTGTTTCAGCTTTCACAACCCCAGCCTGCTCTGTCCAGTGCTCAAAGCTGTGCCGAGCTGGCAGCTTGCTGACTGTCCTCTGCAGACCAGGAAGAGTCACTGTGGCCACCAGAAAGCAGCTACATCCCCTTTTTAGCTTAAAGCTCAGTGGTGGATCTGTGGGCTGGTCCACCAGAAACATTGAAGGTTAAGAGCTGCCCATTATTTTACTAGGCTTGGGAACCATCGTATTTGGAGTACTGGGTTGCTTTGTAATCTAAAGTCACTCACAATTTCCTTATGATATAATTTATGTTTTCCAGAGCTCAGTTACCTTTCCCAACTACACCGTAACATCACAGGCCCAGTGCAACCCCATGGGGCTGGGCTCTCTGTTGGTGTTCCTCAAGCTGCTCTCACAAGGCAGCAACCAGTTAGTCACACACATCCCGCAGGCTCCCCTACTCTGCTTTTGCAGTACAAAAGCCTTTTCATCCTATGCAGGTCAGACCACATCAGTTTGACTGGCACTGCTGCAGCTACAAACTGGAAAGCCTCACAGTGCATAACAAATCACTGTGACTGCCTGACGAATAACATTACTGAAGAGGATCGCCTCCTACCAGACTTTTGTTTCCTTTCCTTTATATATTTTTCCATCTGGCTTATATCTGTCACTAAAAATACACGGCACAGCTCTGAAGTTGTGCAAGACCTGTAGCACCCAAGCTATTGCTGTGACTGTAACTCATGCTTTCCAAGGCTGGAGCCTCAACAAAGCCATAGTGCTCCTTATCACATTCAGCTCCTGCACAGCTTTACTCATACCCCAACTTTGTCTCCTGTAGCTCTGAAGATAAAGAGGTTTTGATCAAAAATTAAAGAAACACTATGTTTTTCCTTTATAAAGAAGGCTGTTAGGATTTTTCTCAATAGTTTTTTGATCAGAGTGGTAACAGCTTCACCAAGGAGGGATCAGCACTTCCAGTCTGTCCATGCTGGGCATTCAGAAGCCATCAACCAAGCCCCCAAACATGAAGCTGGCTTTAAAAAACGATTAAATCTGAAAACCTAACTCAGCATCCTCAACTTTAACAATCCGGGTTTCTCAGGGTTTTGAGCCATTTGCTTTGAAGCTTTCCTCTGCTACCTAGAAGACCAGCAAAGTTCCCTCTCTGACACCAGCACTGATTTTTGCCCCCTGAAGGGAAAGCCTGAAACTTTCCCTATGGGACAAGCAGAGTTTGTCACCGACTTCACTGGCTGGAAAAACCATTTACAGTTAAAACCAACTCTGTTCAACCTAAAGTCACCAAGACAAATAAGGATCCCATGGCGGTGCTCTCTCTTTGGCTATTTTTCTCTGCTTGCTCTATTCCCTCGCATTTTTGTATGACAGAACATAGTGTGGATGGACACCCTCAGTGAGTCGCTCAGTAGTGACTGCCATCTCATCAGCTGGCAAGCGGCAAGTATTTGGGATTCTCCTCCTTCCCACTGCCACAATTTACAAGCTACGCGTGGTCCTGTCCATTCAGTGCCTGCAACTACAGACAATGCATGCTGTATCTACCCTTGGCTCTTCAGCACCAGAAACACCATCTCTCAGAAACACCAGCACCAGCCTTGTATCAAGTAGTGAAAATGGTCAGAAGACAATGTATTTGCAGCAAGATTATTGTATGATAGTGGCTCCTATCTGAGCACAGAAGAATGAAGCCAAGAAAGTTACTGCTTGAAAAGCAGCCACAGGAGCTTCCCAGACTGCTCTCTTTAAAGGCCATAGGGAGAGTAGGACAGAGAATCTACAGGACTGCAAGTAGTTCTTTACTTTGCAGTTTGATCACATCAGCTGAAAAGCCAATTGCAATATCCCGACTACAACATTAAAACCCGCAGCCTGTTCATCTTCTCAACAGACTGAAGCATGGACTGGCACATCCTGAGCTCTGGGGAACACTAGCCAAAGGAAAAGCCAACTTAGCAACAGGAAGGCTTGTAGGAGCTGTACAGAGCATGGAGGGCTGTGAGGTGTGAGGCTGTGAGAATGAAGCCTTTCTGAACTGTCTTGAACATCTAAAACCACCCAAGTCCTTTCTCTTCACACTGGTAAACCTGGCCAGAGGTTTGCGATTGTTTTTTTTTATTAATTAGATGACTTTTATTTAGCTAATTAAGTTGTATTTAATTAATGAGCATGAAATCAAGACAGCTGCTTTATTCTCACCTCCAAAAGCTGGCCGCATGGTGAAGTCGTGGTCATCGACCCTGAGAAGCTGCTCTGTCTTTCCTTTCCAGGTTTTGGTCACGTCATGGTTCCTTTTGTAGATGTGACTGCAAAAGACAGCAATTGTGTTGGTCTGATGCCTCTGTGCCCGAGCAGCACTCTGCAGTCAGCCTCTGCCAGCCCAATCCCAGACCCGCTGGAACAGCTGCTTTGTGGGGCAGCCCCAAAGAGGAAGAGGGGTTGCTTTGGTACAGGTAGTTTCTGTGCTTTGTCTTCTGACTTTAAGCAATGACAAACCCATGCATTTCCCTCCACAGCAGCAGGAAAAGAGGGGTTTTGCCTAAGGAAGGCAGCAAGAGCTGAAACCCTGCACTTTTCTGAATACTAAGGGTGGAAAAACTCTTAACTTTTTATTTGAGAGGTTCAACGATAACGGTACAACAGGGATGACAAGAAGTTTGATCAACCATTCTGTTAGTTGTGAGTCCTGGATTTTGTGTACCCCTTGGCAGCCTGTACATCAGCACGAATGCCCTCAACTTCCTACAGATAGGTGTCACCCATATCCTTCACCCAGTTTTGCAATATAAATGACAGAGAATGACAGATCCCTGGGAAATGTGAAAGACCTCCTATCAAAGTACAAAGCCAGGAGCTGTTATTCCATGAGCACGGTCCAATTACCTGTGCAAAGCCTGGGCTCTCCAGAGCATAGCGTGAAGCTGCACCAGGCAATGACCACAGCAATGAAGCACAGGGCAGTTATTTCTTTAAGTCATACTTCAATTTGCAGAGGAGTTGTTATCAGCGAGGTGGGGGATGCAGGAGTAATGGGAAATTAAACATGACGATTTCTAAGTAAGCAAACCTTATCCATTCAGCATGCAGACTGAGTACCACTTGTACGGAAAACAACACATTGCAGCTCAGTATTAACGTAGAACAAAGGGAGGAATTAAGGATGCACAGACAGCACTTAACCTGGCACTTCTTAACTTGGGTTCCTACTTCCACAGCCCTAACCTGCCTTTTGCCATATTCCTTTCCCATGCAGGCACAGGCTCAACAGTGTACTTCTGTGTACACTTTGCAGATTGCTGTCTCATTGCCTCCACGACCAGGTACCCAGGCCCTCAAAGCTCCATGGCAAAGAACCTCTATGCAGTATTCAAGTAATGAACTGCAGAACCGAAGATGTTCTGCATTTGCACAATCCAAGCTAGCTTCTTGAAATCAATATAAATATCACCAGATCAGGCTGCTGTATCACCTTAAAGGACACAAAATGTCAAACTTACTACATGTAGATTCCCAAACATTGGAATACATTTTCTTGGCTAATATGTTTACTGTAAAATTTACTGTATTTCTTGTGGTAAGGCAGCAAGAGAAATACTAAATAGAAAATGTGATGAAATTATTAAAAAGGACACTCATCTCTTTTACATGATTAAAAAAACAGCACAGGAACTGGTTTTGATTTCCTCTTACTAGAAGAGTCCACTATTCACTGCTGGTTTAGACACAACTACATTCTTTTCATACGTAACTGGGAATTTGAAATATCAATGTCACTACCCCATACAGTTTTTAACATTGCAGAATTTTCTGTATTTAAAATGTCATTCACATTTCACAAAATCGGGTTGGAAAGGACCTTAAGATCACCTAGTTCCAACTCCCCTGACATGGGCAGGGATGCGCTAAAACTTGATTTCATATACTTTCAGAGCATATCACATAGGAAATGGGTATATATGCATATAAATAACATGTGTATATATATATAAGGTATATATTTGCTCAGATTCTATCTAGCTGTTCATGAAAGCCATTATTCCACAGGAGACCAAATAATAGCAGTTATTCTTTACAGCAAATTAATTTATAGAAATTATTTCAGCAGTGCTTTGACTTCCACTTTATCACAGCTTCATAAAAATAACAGCACTGTAGAAATTGTATACCATTTTCACAGTGTTTAAATGATGCATCAAAGATTCAAGCAATTGTAACCCAGAGAATGGCATCACTCTGGGGCAAAGTCATGTTTAAAAGAATGATTTATACTATTTTGTTCCTTCAAAGTAGACGATCTCTACTACATGTGAATGGTTTGCAAGGAAATGCTACTGTTGAATCCCCTGCATTCTCCAGAACAGAGACCTGGAAAAAACTTCAGAGTTAAATGAACGATCTCATTCCGTAACAGCAATTCTGTGGAAATCAGTGGTAAAACTTTGAGTTGGCTTCAGGATTTCAGGATCAGGTCTTAGCTGTTTCAGCTTTATAACATTTACGTCACTAACAGCATATGCTACTGTAGATTCTCAATAAGTAGTATAAACCAGAGCATATTAGGTATTCTTTACTTTCAACTATACCACAACATTTCACTGCAAGATGTTCAAGTAACAACACTCCCTATAAAAGTGTCGAGTGTTAAATCAAAAAAAATGAACGAAAATAAATAAAACCATGAAGGTTTACAGCCTTAGTGAAGCCATTTAATAAGATGGATTAACCCAATTTTATTTTTGAGCCCTTCAAACAATGAGCAGTCTTGTAAGATATAACTGCCACTGGATGACATAACTACAAAAAGGGATAACATACTTTGGATTGTCTGACAGGTTTGGAAGATTATCTTTTCTACTGTAAACCACTGGTCAAATCTCAGCAATAGTAAATCTAATAAACTTTACTAAGACCTTTAACTCTTTCCTGTGCCTTTGCTGGACTTTAAAATGTAGTTCTTAAAAATGTGCTTTTGATTTTATGATCCCAGGGTAGCCTCCAGGGATTTATTTCTTATTAGTGAGTATCATGCATGCTAACCATTATTCCCACCTCAGATTGTTAGAAAATAACAGGCAATTTCAAGCGAAATAAGTGGCACAGATACTCCAGCAAGCAGGGTAAATAACATGCTCCTGAAACAGTGCTGAAACAGTGTGTAGATTTGAACATCCCTATTAATTCCAGCTTCTCTACATTCTCTCAGTAATTCACATATAGGGCTAAGAATATATTGGCCACAGTCCATGCTGAAGCACTCAGCTTCTCTGCAAAAACCTGCCTCACTAAGAGTTAACTAACACTAAATGCATACATTTACAGTTAAAACTGGTTATTCTATCTGAGACTATTACAAAAAACATATATGAAGCTGCTTCCACACACACTGCACACAAAAAGGCACAGACAGGGCAGATCTTAAGGTCTGCGTGGTATTTATAACACTGCAGGAAAAGAAACACAGGTGGTTTAATAACCCTCACCTTGCCCTCTGCACGTCCAGCTGGCTTGTCCACCTCCTCCTCCTGTGTTTTCTGCTTTCCACAAGAAGAACTAAGCAGAAGATTAATAAAAGCAGTTTTGCAAAATAAGGCATCCTGCTGGTAACAGGAACCGAGCACTCTCCACTCCAGTAACCTCCTGCAGCACCAGTCCCCCCGGCTTTAAACATTGAATCAACTCTTAATTCCGCTGTTGCGCGCTCGCCGGCTATCAGCGGCAGAAATGCTGCCTTCCCGAAGTGATGGTTTTGACAGGCTTTCAGGGGCTTCTCACTCCCAGCTCTTCCCTCATCACCACTTAACGATTGGCCATTACTCGTGAAGTTTGCTTCACCAAACATTTCCACTGGGTCCTAAAGGATATTTACTAAAGCTGTTATGTAAAAAACCCGCAATTCTGGACGCTGGCTTTTTGCTCAATCCCCTAATCTCAGGACAGGGCTATCCTCCTGCCAGACTGTAAAACCAGGCTGTCTCTGTGCAGCAGGCTTTACAGATTTTCTGCTTCTTTGCATGGCATCTTTTTCAACTGTAAGGCACCTGTGCCACATTTCAGATGTTCGTATAACTGTAAAACATATATGCTTTGATGGATTTATAGCAGTTGAGATTTTATTTTCTGATTCAGCCTGGCTTTTTATGCCATTGAAGATAAAAAGATGAGTTATTTCCTCTGGAAATGACTTTATTTACCCATTAACTTTCAAAACACATAACCCCAGAGTATCTATAAATGCAATTGACTCTCTACATAAAATTAAGTCACCATTAACATTTATTTTTTCAAATAGGTATTTGCACAATCAGGCATTTGAACTTTCATTAGAGAAGATGGAAATAAAATGAAGCTACAAAGCACTGTTTCTTTAATCGCAAAGAAGAGGTTGTTTTCAAAAACCACATAACACTTATTTCCCTCATAGTCACTTCAAAGGGCAATGCAGACTGCGCCCGTGGATTCTGTGGCTTTACTAACAGCCAGTGCGTGGTACAGGTATGAGAGCAAAAGTTTGTGTGGCACAGCAGTGAGGCTCTAGGAAAAGAAAAGCACGTTCAGAGCAAAGCTTCCGGAGGAGCTAGAGTCAAAAACCAGCACAGCTGCCTTTTGGGTCAGACCTCGTCCAGAGCTCTATCCCATGTTCCCAGGTTTGCAGTACTTTAACAGAACCGATATTCAAACAATGTATCACCTAGGAAACACGGTACTTGCATTTTAGAGGCTACAGACTCTGGAGAGGCATTTTGTGGGGTTTGGTGGGTTGGTTTGGGGGTTTTAATTTCTAATGAGGTGAATATACAAATTAGGTAAAAACATCAATATAAAATACATCAGTATACTGACAACAAATTGTTTTGCAGCACAATGTGCAAGTAACTGCTGAACTGGCTGAACAAACTACATAGTTTTGAAAAGGTCAGACAAGAGTAGTTTTGATTTTTGTTCCATTGTACCTGCAAGCAAGATTATAAACAATGCACCCAAAGAGCTAAAAAAAAAAAAAAAAAAAAGAACTTGGGTATCGTTTGGATTTTGGGTTTTCTTTCCCTCATTTTCACACCAGTCTTGGACACAGTGGGCTTTCCTTATTTTAGAAGTTGTTAACAGCTAATGTTCTAAAACACTAGTACACGCTATATTTAACAAAATAGTTTCTGCTGAGAAACAGGATGTCACTTAAATCAGTGCTGTCATGTTTGACAGCAATGAAATGGAAGTTAGTTAGATTTCACTGCCTTTGAAATAAACACCGTAGAATACATTTAAATCTGAACAGTAATACAAGAAGAAAATTATCCCACTGATTGCCTTCTCTCAAAACCCAAACAACTGTATGTCTATTGCTTGTATATGTGCTTTCACAGCATTCATTAGTATTACCAGTTCTTTTTTTCATGATCTAATAATAAGAAAGCCTTTGGGTCCAATGTTCATTTTAAATTAAAAAAATGAAAACACAAACCACAAACAACAAAACATGGGGGAAAAACCACACACATAAAGGCTATGTGATACTTGAAACGTATCTGAAGAGTGGCTTGAAACTGTTTATTACTACCAGGGTTTTAATAAATATTTCTCTTAAACATGTTCATATATATGGGAGTTTAACAACATTCAAATATTCTTTAGTAAATAAAATCAGGTATGAAACATTCAGTTCAACACTTTACGTATATTTCTGGTATAATTAAAAGACAATAGCTCTGGGTAAATAATTATATTACATATTTATAACTATGGTGAGAATAGACATGTTTTATACAATCTTCAAATTTCATAAAACAAGATATACATTTGAGAATATTAGAAGAGGACATTCCAATCTTGTGGAAGATTATCCAATCTTTCTTCCAAAAAATAAAAACCAAAATAATACAACTCTCTTTCTGGCCCCTTCTTACCTCCCCTACAATCCTTTTCCCCTTTCACACACACAAAGCAGCATCACAACCAATTTGCATGTGTTCCCCCTCTAGAAATGTGTCATGGTAAATAAAAGTGGTTACAAAACTGTCTCCCATCTAAATTAAGAGTTCACTGGACACAAACACATAACTGTGTTTCATTTCATAACTACTTCTCCAATGTCAAATCTTAAAACTTAGACATGAATAATTGCATTTACGTTCCATAAAAAAAGGGAATCAACCACTTCTTTTAAGTTGCCTTTTTCTAGCTGATAAATTACTCAGATTGACTCCTCTTCCATATGCCTTAATGATACTATTCCACTGCACTGTTTCTCCAAGTATCTAGTGGGCACTCAATTAACACTTGTTGTAGTTAAAAGTACAACTTTGCTGTTCTTACAAGTAACGTATCGTAGGTACATTAACATTCGTAATGATTTAAGTGTAAATACAAAATTAATCTTTGTAAACAGTTCTCATATCATACCAAATACCCAATACAGAATGTTCCATGAAGCACTCAGGTCACTGCTATCAGGACAAACCAAATTAGTTACAACTCAAATATATACTCGTTAGCCAAACATATTCTACGAAATATGAGAGCTGCCAATGCAAGAGTCAGAAGGACAATCAGAACAGTTGATCCAGTGTGGTTCATGTTGACTCTTGGTTGCTGTACCCGATTAAAGTCAGTTGAAGATGGAGGCCGTCTCTGACTCTGCTGCTGGGCACGGCGCTGCCGAGGACTCATAGAAGTGTTAGTGGACACTGGAGGGGTATGCTCTTGACTGGCTGCTGCACTGCTGTTCTGGGTTTCAGACTAAAAAGGAAACATGGAGAGTTGTGAAGCAAGACACTGTATAAGATCAGCAAGGAACAAAATCATTAGGACTAAAACTCACTCTTCAGATAATTGTTAATACTTGCAAGCCTGATAATAGATGTCACTAACAACTACAAGCTCGTTACAGACATCATTTTGTACAAACACTGTCTTGAAAAGTCTATTTCAAGCTGCAAATTAGCAGTTTCAAGGACTTTATTCTTTTTAAGGAAGAAAGTCTGTCAAACAGTACTTGAATTCTAGATTGTTTCCAAATCACGAGATTTCAAATATCTCTGTCTACAATTTGCTTGACTCTCTGCAGTTCAATAAATCTTTAATAATCCTCCAGACAGTTTAGTCTCTGAGGATTTCTACTGTCACCTAATACTGAAAGGGAAACAACTTGAAAGAAGTCCGGAGAACTATAACTAAGCAATGCTGCACTGCTTACTGTGGACAGCTGGGTCCAAAACTCTCTCCTCATCACCACCAACACCGCTGGAAAAAGAAACAAAATAAAAATCCTGAATACAAAACACCTACGTGATTCCAGCATGAACTCCTGAGCACTGTACTTGTGCATGCACATACCTATTGCCCTCTACTGGTCAAACATTGGTCTGCCATTATATGTAGTGAACAAAATAAACATTAGCAACTGATGTTCAGCTCAGGAGAGTATAATTTAAAGAAAACAATTTTCCAGTTTGCAAGGTTGGAACTATGCGCTCCAATATTCCACTGTCTTAATCCTCCCTGCAATACTAAAAGGCTCATACTTCTGACATTTTAGTATTAAAAATAGTGACATAGCATAGTTGTTGGAAAGAAAACATTTTGCCAAAGTTTGTTTCCAAGTGTTTAAAAACAGTACCTCTGACACAAAGTTATTAACCTGAAGTCATCCTTTGACTTCTCAGAATAGTCCGCAGGTATTCCCTGCATCTGTTCTCCAGAGTTAGCTTTCTCCCCCCCCTCCCTTCTCCTAAAAGGTTATCATTACAGCAGGTAAAACTAGAATTCCAGACATTCCCTATTTACTTCCAAGCAAAAGCCAGACACAATATCCACAACCCTAAGCTCTGCACTGGCCAGCTACTATATCCACAAAAGATATCCTTTGGACATGGCCAGACAGGGAATGTCCTCAACTATGTACCAGACTTGTTGATCCACAAGACATGGTGCTATTGTGACTCTTTGACCACATATTCTGCATGTAGGAGAAGAAATCCGAATTTTCATCTAGTTAGTATTTGACTAGCCCAGGGAAGAGATGTTCCTTTCCTACCTCCTCATCATTAGTATTATCCAGTATTTATCATCAACATAGAAGCACTGATGTAATTATACATTTGACAACTTGCCTGTTTACACAGGTTTCTTGCCTAAGCAAACAGGCAGCTTGGTAGCTTCAAAGAAAAATGTTATTTTATCAGCAGAGACAGCCAAGAACAACGCCATGAGCAGCTTGCCATGATTTCCATTACAATGCAGGGGAAAGTCATCCTGCTTCGTAGACAACCCACTTGGAAGCTTCTCATGCCAAGGGAAATAGAAGAATCGGAGAAATAGAGCATTTGATAAATGAAGTTCCTAGATTCATCTACACTCCCATCTTTCAGAAGAGGAGAGAGAGGAAAATTCATTCAGGAAGCAAAACCAGCAAAATTCAGCAGGCAAAGTGTTGTTAAAGCAGCTTTAGAAAAACGAGTAAAAAAAAAAGGAGTCTAGAAATATTCCTGACCCTTTACACTTACTAACAAAAATAAGCACCTCTGGCTATCACACACCCGAGTTTCTTCCCAAAATTTTAAATCTAAAAATAAATCAGAAAGGTCCTGTTCTGAATGAAACACAGTGCCATACACTGACATGAACGGAACTGTGATTCAAGAGAAACCTCACTGACAATTGCAAGGTTTGAAATTATTTTTTGGAGGCAACTATATATATGCATCAGGACTGCAGAAGGCTGCCTCCCTCACGCAAAACTGAGCTAACCCACTGCCTTGGGATTCCCAGCATAATCAATGACAAAGTATCAGCAGACATGCAGAAGCAAGATAGATAAGGAAGGAACGATTATTAGCTGGTATAAATTTGGGACCAGACACTAATGTATCTTAATTATTCAGAATCACAGAACTGTTGAGGTTGGAAGGGACCACCACAGGTCATCTAGCCCAACCTCCCTGCTCAAGCAAGGTCACCTAAAGCACATTACTTGTGTCCAGATGGCTTCTGCAACCTCTCTGGGCAACCTATTCCAATGCTCAGTCACCCTCACAGTAAAGAAGTTCTTCCTCATGTTCAGGTGCAACTTTGTGTTTTAGTTTATGTGCTAATGCTATGTTCTTGTCCTAACACCTGGCACCACTGACAAGAGTCTGGCCTCATCCCCATAATATAAAGATTTTTTGCTTGAAGACTTAATTGCTAAGAATCACAAAATGTTAAGAATCCCCAAAAATGGCAGATGAGTTGCATTACATGTTAAAGAAAAATAAATAAATAAATCAATAAATCAATGCTCTTGTCTTCACTTTCGCAAGTTTTTAAATTCTCCTTAAGCAAAAATGTTGAGATTTGAGATTTTTAGACTAACAAAACCTCACATGAGAACTTCCATTTGATTCTAAGTCATTTTCTGCCAAACTATACTGGAAATGTTGGTGATGAAGGCTTAACAGTCTAAAAACGTTTAGTAAGAGCTACGCAGTAGCCACCTTTAGCATCTGATCTTTACAGTCACTGAATAGGCACTTAATGTATCACAGTATTTCTGAAGCTTCTGAAACTGTTAGGACAGGTAGAAAACTTTGCTTCAGGGAAATTGCAGTTTGATGAGTAAGGCTAGTTCAACAAAATGAACATACAATAGATTTAACAAGAAGTTTTATTCTATAACGAAACACAAGCAAGGAATTTATGTTCAGCCTACTGAAGAATGGTAGCATTCACTGCATCATTTATGTGTGCAGGCTGTTATTTTAAAAAAATTTATCAGAATGCTGGAAGAATTAAATAATCACTTTAGAATGGATGTTTTAAAAATATAAAACCTCTAGGAACTCAGAAGTATATAAATCCTCTGGGTTACTGAAGCCTCTCTCAGTTATGATCTCAGAGATACCAAAATAAGACAGAAGGACCAGTGAAATACTTATTTGCCCATGTAACTCTCAAATGAAGAACAGCTGAAGTTTGGCACAGCATGGCTTAACAGCTAACAAGAAAAATGTCTCGTTTTTAATCAATCAAAGTTGGGCCAAGTATTCCTGACTGTCATTTAAAATTGTTGCTGCAGTATTAGGAAACTTAAGATACGGCTTAATAGTGATAAAAGGAAATAACTTTTTCACAACATATCATTCAGAACACATGATTAAAAATAAGGGCTTCTATAAATCCTGTGTATCAGAACATAGCTTCACTTTCTTACAGAAAGGTCCCTCATCAGTTCAAGATCAGCTGACTTCAGTTACACTGTTTATTTCATCACTCCTCATTATTACACTTCAGCCAGCCAGTACATTAGTGCAGGACACTGCTACAGTATATTGCTTAATAACAAGTGTTTTGAGGTTTACTGTATTTCCAGGTTATCAGAAAAAAAGTCTAACCACAGTCTTTAACTCATAACTTTATAATTCTTACCAACTATCAGCTTTAATCATCAACTATAGGCACCAAGGTGGAACATCATTCCACACCAATACACCTACCAAATGTAGGTTGTGAGAGGGTGGTAGGATTCAATATTGGGTCTACCTCTGCCCTTTCTGTTCTCAAAGGAAATAAATTTCAAGTTCACAAGAGCAAATTTTCTGCAGTAGCTTTTAATTAAAACACACATTTGTAGAGCAAGCGGTAAACACTTTATCCAAGAAACAGAACAAATAGTTTTGATGTTGCCCTCATTCAAGGCTGAAAACTTAGTAAGGTAGAATTAGGTCTTACACAAGAACTAATCCAACAAACTGATTTTACACATGCAAGAAGCCAAGCTGAGTAGAAAGAATCTGAGGTTTGCACAGATACTCTTCTTTCATGCGTCTGGCCCCTACTTTGAGAAGAGTTCTTTTTACTTTCACATGAATAAGAACACAGATAGATAGCTCAAATTCTTTAAAGCAGTCTTTCCTGTTACACAATTCTTCATTCCACAGTGTGGCTTTAACTTTTCACTTCCTAATGGCTCCAGAAAATACCTAACACTCAAAATGTGGCAGCTCAGAAACACAGGTATTGCTTCAACTCAAATAAACAATTATGAGCGTAACAGTCTGACCCCTTAAAACATGAATCCACTTTTCATCATTTATAGTTTACCACATTTAAATATCTTTATATAAATTTACATGTTTAAATATCTCATTTCACTTGGGACTGTTTTGCTGAAAATGAAGTTAATCTTTAATTATTAAATCTGCATAAATGATTAAAAGACATGTCTTAGAAATTGAAAAAAAAAAGAAATTAAAAAATCAGCCTCTTTCCTGAAGCAGATGCCAGCAATGCCTCAGTATTTTGGTTAGTCCTACTATATTAGCCAGGATTTGTAATAAGAATAAAATAAAATGGTTTATTAAATCCTAAAAAATCTGGAAAAAATCGTTATTGTAAGAAAAAAGTACGCTATTAGCATGTTTATATTTCTACATAGCTAGAAAATATGCTGCCAACATGCAACAGATGGTCTGACGTTATTTGACGTGGTTTATGTTTTTTAACCGATCTGCAGCCCCATCCTCTCTAAAAAAGCCAGCTTAGCTGGGATTTGCCTGCAATTTAGCAGTGAATTTAGATTGCAGTTGCCACAGTCATAACAGCAGCTGCCTTGGCCCACTACCAGACCTCGGTCACTTCCAAAACCTTATGTAAGCCATACACCTAGCAGTATTAAACCAGAAGTGTTATACTTCAAACAGTAAGAATATTTTAGATTCACTTAAGAGGTTATAAAAAACCAGGAAGATATTCTTAATTAATATTTAAGTGCTACAAATTATCACTGAAACTTTTTTTTTGCCTCTGGCTAAGAATTCTACTCCAAAATCTTGTATTATGCAGATGGTAAATTGTAGTACTTCAGACACCATAATATTTTAATGAACTGTTAACACATACATTAAAGGAACTAGTGGGAACAAGAACTGCTAAAAGAGTATTATTTGTTTTAATTTAAGAGAAGGAAGTAAACAGATCATTATTTCTAAAAGTGATTCAGCATGCTATTTGCTAAAGTTTACACATATAAAAGTATGCAGAAATTCTAAAAGAAAGAAGTACAAAGTACATACTCTTAATGAAGCCTCCAATCAGTTTAATAGTACAGACTGCATGTTCAAACTACGGCTGAACTTGCAATGATAAAGCTCAAAGACAGACCATACCGTTGCATTTGTTGGATCCTGGAGTGCTCTAGCTGCACCACCCTGCTGTGGCTCATGTGCAGCGGCAGAGTGGTTCAACCCTGATGTGTTTGAGGGTCCAGCATCAGACTTCCTGGATGAATTGACTTCTGCCTACAAGGAGTACATATGTAGGCTTCAGAAACAAGATCAAAATTGCTTCAGAAAGGTTTGGCTCATTTTGGAATGTGTATTTTAATGTACACAGAATATAAGACTTACTGAAATGCAATAATCAAGTACGCCAACTGCATTTCAATTACACATCAACAGGCTTATGAAATTCTCTCCAGAAATAAACTTATGCTTGTGCATCTGTAGTCTCAAGTAACAATTCTGTTTTCATGTATCAGGCATAACATTGAAAAAATGCACAGAGTAAAAAAAGAAAACTCTTTAGATCTCTTTAGAACTCTTTGGACGAAGCCTTGGGTGAGATGGTTTAGTATGAGGTGCCCCTGACCATGGCAGGGGGGTTGGAACTTGATGATCTTAAGGTCCTTTCCAACCCTAACTATTCTATGATTCTAAGATCCAGGATATTACACCAGAAGTAACACCATTTTTTAAACCTTCTGTTTCTCATGTCCTTAAATGAATGCTGACGACTACTGTTACAAGTGAACGAATATATAGCCTGTTTCCCAGCAGGACTAACTAGTCCCTGGTAAGTGCTAACTTAATGTGGCTATACTGGTTCCAGTACTGCAGTTGCCTCACAGCCAGAGTGGGCATACATGCAGGGCACTACACTATGTCAGGCACGTATGCCTTAATTTCCAGTATTTAAATTTCAGCAAAAGCAGAGCAAAACAAACAAACAAACCAACACAAACCCAAGTCTTGTAACAGTGCTTCTGTACATATTTATAAAATGTCTAATGAGCATCAATTCCCAGAATTTACGTTTTATGCTTTTGGAAACTTAAGACAATCAGCAGTGACATGTAGAAGATCACGAATAAACCTCTTGTTAAAACAATATATATGCCTGCAATAATCTCTTGGGAATAGAAAAAGACATAGCATCATAGTCCTCCACTGAAACACTTTTAAATTTATACATAAAAAAATCATGACCAGATCAATTTTTATCAGCAAAGTCACTTTCCAAGTCATATATCTGGATCTCAATTTGTTATAAAGTTGACAATTCCTGATCTAACACTTGTCTTCAAATGCAGATATAAATAGTGGTAGTAGCAGTAAGAAATACAAACAATGTATTAGAAACCAACCAGTTATGGTGATAACAAGCTGATAAGATCACAAAATAAAAATATTCTTTCATGATTCTATTTTTTTGTGAAATTAATACACTCCAAGAAGAAGGGAATTTATCTCAGGAGAAGCCAAAAAATACGTCACTGAAACAACCTGGAGATTAAGTTTTAAAACCACAGTCTGATGACACTGCTATTCTTTTGCACTTGAATATTCTAACATTGGATAAGACAAGTTATGACTCGAATATGGACCAGCAATGAAACAACACAGGATTATGAATAATTTAAGCTGGAATGGATCTCTAGATGTCACCTGGTCCAGTTCCCTCCTCAAATAGAGTCAGGTTCAGCCATCTCCAAAGCTGGAGATTCCACATCTTCTGACAGGCATCTGAAAAGCCACAAGGTGAATTTTCCTTTCTCATATCCAGTGTATGTTCCCTCCCCAGAACCTGTGACCACTGCTTTTCATACTTCTGCTTTTTCTAAGAGTTCAATATTTATAAAGCACATACACTAAAAAATGTTCATTTGATTTGCTTCCATTTATGAAAGTACTAAGTCTAGTGTGCCAGGCTGAATTTGGACTAAAATTCAAGAAAATAGAGCACTTGGAAGTTCCTAAAACTGAAATATCTTTTTTTGTCACCCAGTCTCTATTTTCTCCAGCCTTTACTTGTGCTTCCAGAAAACTGAGACAACACTGTCATCAAGGGTAAAAAAAAAAAGAAAAATCAATATCTTTTAATGTAATCATGAAGGTAAGTGGAGAATTATTTTCATGGCAAGATATGCCTTGTGATGGCAACATGTAGGTAAACCATGTTGGTTTACAGTAATGCATATGCTATTAATCATCTACCTTCCTTTTTTTTGCTTTTAAGTAGAGTGGAGCTCTCAAAGTGCAGAAAACAATTTACAAGTCAATGTAAAGCTGATTTTAAAGAAGTAATTTTCTATTCAAACGGTCGGGAACAAAGGTGAAGGCTCACAGAAGCAGGAAAACTATAATGAGGAAGTGTGCTTCGTTATTTTTTCTTCCTGAATTTCATATTCCTTCCTCAATAACACAGATGGGTATTTTCTTAAAAGTTACCATTTTGCTTAAACATGAAATGACTTCTCACAATCCAGGATCATCTAGAAAAGGTTAGGAAATCTCTTTTTCACCAACAGCCACTGCTAGTATGTTCGCTAGTAGAAAGGTGCTCTCAATCAGCTATCTGATGTTAAATCTTACCCCATAAATTGGCATGGAATATATCCAAATGATTCCTACCTTTTGTACTCCCTGCTAGTAATTCATATGATTAGTTTACTACAAACACATGAATGGAACGCCTTAGCGTAACACCAAACAAACAGTAAAGTCAAGCAAAGCAGAGAAGCAGGAAGCTTAAAAGAACTCAATCCCTAAAAATTAATTTGAGAAAGGGAGGGAAGGCGCAACTAGAAGACAGAACCGTTTACCTTGTAAAAACCCACTATGGATTGTAAAAGACTGTAGAAACCCAAGCCTTTTGTTCATTTTTCCTTTGCTTAGTGCTCGTAATTAGGATGTAGAATTAAATACATGGATACATGGAACACACCAATATTCTTTAGAGATTAATGTCTCTGTCATTTTAAAACTGAAAAAGGTATGAAATGTAACAGTTCTTCCTAAAAAAAGAGATAGATATATATACTCTGATATTTCTAGAACTTCTATGATATTAACAGTTCTTAAATAAAAATGCAGGTTTTAACCCTTGTGAAAAAAAACAGGAGCAGGCAGTCCATTGCTTTTCCAAGTAGCTTAACTTCAAAACTGTTTCCTCATCCTTTCATAGATTTTTGAGACATTTTTCATGAGCATTATTATACACAGACCCAACCACATCAGCATGTCTAGATGTGAGACTGCACAGAAATATGCAGGTCCTGCTCAGTAGGAGGCAATCTTTACTCTCATGGCACACAAGAAAAAAAAGTAGTCTTTAGGACATTTTAAGGAGAACATTGGTGATAAAAGGGGACATATTAGCACCCCTGACCTTAGTATCTATCCATCACCAGTGCCACATTGTGATACTATATTCCACTGTAGTTTCTTGCCCTCATGCACAGCAGTCTTCCTTAGTGGCTGATTTAAGAGTTTAGTGGAAAACCCAGTGAAAAACAACCCTGTGCATGCAAGACATGCAATTTTCTAAGGCACGTATATGACTGAGCAAACCTTACTTTCAGTGAAACACAAGCTACAGAACACATTTTTGGGTAACAGCAACTTCCATACCAGAGTTCAACTTTCAGTATCTTCAGCTGCAGAGTAGTTCAAAAGAATTTGCAATCATTTTTCAGTAGGAATATGTTTTATTCCTTCCATAAGCCAAAAGAAGAAAAAAAAAAATCACAAAGGAAAAAAAAAATTAGGTTAGCTTTGCCCAAAGTTTCCTAATACTTTTATGATAACACTAGTTCTGGAGAATTTAATCAAGCTCTCAGTGACTGAAAACAAGGAAGTAAAAGTGACGTAGTTAAGCAGTTGTTACCACAGTGCTCACCACTGAAATTAAAACTAATCAATCAGTGCTTGAGATGCACAATTTATTAATTGGTACATTGCAAAAGATCCACTTCTATTTTTCCCTTTCAGACTGTCCTAAAAAACAGATTTCCACAGAGTAACTGATGAAGGTTTATGAAATGATGAATGTTTCTGAAATTTATAAAGCTTTTCCTCCTTTTTTTTTTTTTTTTTTAATTCTACAAAACAAAGATGAAAGTTTAAAATGGTGACTTCACCTTGAAGCTAATTTGTCTGGCAAGTTCTTTAGCCTCCTTGTCCGCCTGGCTTGACACTCTTCCAGATGTTAGTGGTAAGAGGGCTGTCTTCATAGATGTGCCACACATTTCACAACAGAAGTCTTGTGACCTGGCCACAAATGACATAACTCAGAATAGAGTGTTCTCATAATGTTCTTGGCTGCTTGTTTGAACAAACTATTTGTAAAATAACCCACGGAAAGACAAGTGGTGTCAAGAGTAATAGCTTAAAAGCACTTCCCTCCACCCCAAATCACATTACCTTGGAAAAATAGATTGAGACTGTATCTATACATATCCCCTCATGTCATTTAAAAAAATATTTCCAATTTACTCATATATTGTCATTACTTATACTTTATTAATAATTTGTTACCGTTTTTAAACTTTATATCTACAGCAAATTAAAAAAGTCAATTATCAAGATCTAACTATTATCAGAAATATTAAATTTGACCCAGGAGCTTGCACTTCAAAACCAGGAATTTCAGCTTCTGCAAGAGCATTCCGTGTCCTCTCTAGCACACATAATTTGTCTATAGGGCACATCACAGACACCTCTCCAAGCCAGTAAGAAACCACACAGCCTTGATAATACAGTATCAAAACCAACCCACTAAACTCTACAGCTAAGCAGGGTTTATTAGCTTCGACTCAGTGCAATGCTAACTTGGAAGCAGATTTTGATTTGCCCAGAGTGCAGGCAGAATAAACTCACATATGCCTGCAAAATAAGGTACTGGTTGCAACTTGGAATATAGTAACTTCAGTTATAAGACTGGGATATGGTCTCTCAAATACTTTCTCCTCCCCAGGCAGGAAAAGGAGAAAGATGAAATATCCCACAGGTCTAAGATTTAATTTAAGGATAATCACAGAATATTTGAGGTAGGGAGTGATCTCTGGAGAGCATTCAGTCCAATTTACTTGCCCAAAGTGGGGTCAAGCAAAACACATTGCTCAGGTCTGTTTCCAGTTATATTTTTGATACCCCCAAGGACAGAGACTCCACCACCTCTCTGGGCAACCTGTGCTTTGACCATCCGGGCTAGTGCTTTGACCATCTCCACAGGTAAAAAAAAAAAAAAAAAAAAGAAAATAATATAAATTGTTTCCTTGAGCTGATTGAATTTTGCAGTTTCAGTTTGTGACCACTGCCTCTTGTCCTGCCACTGGATGCCACTCAGAAGAGCCTGGCTCTGCCTTCTTTACATGTTCCTTTCAGGTATTTGTACAGATGGATGAGATCCCCTGAGCCCTCTTCTCCGAGCTGAACACTCCCAGCCCTCCTAGCCTTTTCTTGTACGAGACATGTTCCAGCTCCTCAATTATCTTCATGTACCTGCACTGGATTAGCTCCAGTAAATCCATACCTTCCTTGTACCCTGGCCTGGACACAGCCCCAGCCTGGATCCAGCACTCAAGATGTCTTACCAGTGCTGAATACAGAGAAAAGATCACATCCCTCTGCCTGCTGGCAATGCTCATCCTAATGCAGCCCAGGACACCATTCAGCAAGGGCACATTGCTGTCTCACAACCAGCTTGGTAACCACCAGGACCCCCAGATCCTCCCCTTCCAATCTCCTTTCCATCTTGCTGGTTGGTGTTCCTCCTCCCTAAGGGCAGAACTTTGCTCTTCTCTTTGTTGAGGCTGAGATTCCTCCAGCCTGTCGAAATTCCTCTGGATGGCAGCACAACCTTATGGTGCATCAACCACTCCTCCCAGATTTGTATCATCTGCAAACTTGCTGAGGGTGCACTCTATCCAATCATCCAGGTCATTAATGACATTGAATAGCACTGGCCCAGTACTGACCCCTAGAGTACACCAGCAGCGACTAGCTTGCAGCTGAATTTTGTGCTGCTTACTACAATCCTTTGAGCTAGGCAGTTCAGCCAGTTCTTAATCCACTTTACTGTCCTCACTGACCTAGGCTTTACTTCATGAGTTTCTTCTCTAAGAACATGATAAAGAAGGCAACACCAAAAGTCCTTGTACACTAAGTTAATGATTTCATCACAGTCATAAATCTAATTTTAAGTTAATTTCTTAAAAATCATTCAGAAGCAGCTGCTCCAGATATTTTTATCGTTGTAGTATTATTATTGCCTTAAGGGACATGATGCATAATTTTCTTGGTTTGTTTCTCCCCTACCTACATTTAGCATCAATTTCAACATGCTCATTTTCCCCCCATGCTGCAATTACCACTGTATCGCAGTGTTAATTACATCTCTATGCCTGAATTTCAGATGAAGCTCTAACTTTGGCTACACAATGCTGAAAGGAACACAGCCCTCTGAAAGTATTTTGTTTGACAGTAAGTTCAGAGTCTGCACAATGCTCAGAAAGAAAAATCCCAAACTTATATATATACATACACATATATATACACATATAAAATATACAAACACACAAGGCAGAAAACTTTTTTTTATATTTGGAATAAATGCAAGAGAACAGACTGAAGTGACTTTACTGTCTACTCAATGCTTAACCCTAAAAGAAAGTACATATATATGTACCTACATTAACGAACTCAGTACTTACTTCTTTGCAAGAGCTCTTCTTTCTTCTGGAGTATAATCCAGAGATCCTATTGCTCCTTCACCTTTGGTTGGCATAAATCCAATAATGGCTAGTAAAGCTGTTCTTACTACAATGGGAAAACAGAGATACAAACAAGATTGGAGAAACAACTATTATGTCATCTCACATTACACTCAATGTAGAAAAGTTGCAATTCTGCCTGCAAAACTTCATTTTGTCCAAGGGTGTAATCTAAATTTCATACAAGCACCACTAGGGGTTTTTGGTACATAGCAAGGCTTTGGTCATTTTTCAGACTTCTTATTATAAATGAAATGCCTTATTCTTTCATCAACTAACACAGAAAAGAAAAATTGTCACAGAAATCTTGCATCAATATAAAGATTAGAATTCCAGACTTTAAAAATGAGCTCTGAAGAAAAAATGGTAAGACAGAATTAACACAGAAATTGTGGGGGAGGAGGGAAGAATGAAGATGGGGACTGATTTTTTTGTTTGTGTGTGTGTGTTCACACACATGCATTTTCTTCTATTAGACATGAATTCTGCAACTTAGGACTCACAAGCTCAGTGGTTTTTTCCTATGCAATGTACCGCAGAATTTGTTCCTTTTATGTCATCATGGCAGGAAGGAGCTTACTCAGACACTAGTAACAGCTCATCCAAACTGAACTGTCATCCAAAACATCTCTGACAACATCTGTCCTTTAATTTTGTTTTACATAGTTATGATATTTAAGAATTCAAGACACCTTGCAACCAGATTTAGTAAGTGACACATGAAGATTAAGTACCACAAAATAGAGATAGGAGGTTTACACCCCTTATTTAGAAGACAGTATTTTGTACTCTTTAAAAAGACCATAAGAGACTTCACGAAAGTTGAAGAGCAGTCTGATAGAAAATTTCCAAGACTCTATCAACATATTTTAAACATGCAACTGATATCCAAGGAAGTAATTGATGTACTGTACTTGGCAAAACTAAAATTATAAACACAAAAATACTGCCTTGGATGAACTGTACCAACTCTCCGTTTCTATAACAATGAAACATTAAAAAAAAAAAAAAAAAGCCAAATGTAGAAACATTCAGTTACTCTGAACTCAGACCAGGTGTCTGTCTTCCTGAGTGTCCAGAAGTACAACATCAGAATTAAAAGCTGACCACACTCCCCTCTATTCAGCTGGTTTTAGTAATTATTCAAAAAGAGGGTAATTAGGATGTAAAGGATTTTCATAAGAACAACTGAAAAAACCCATAACAAAACAAAACCAAATAATATTTTAAGTAGTCTGAGCATTCTTAATGCTTGGGCATCCAAATAAAAGCTTACCATTTCCCCTTAGTTTCTTAGCCCTTTCACCCCTTAATTATTTAATACCATTCCCAAATCCTCCCTATCCTTCATGACTTTACATTTCCTGAATACTCCCATATTTTCACTCTCTCAAAATTCTTGTCCCTTTCCACTATAAATACCCTTTGTGAGATTTTTTCAGTTTAAAAATCTAGTTGTTTGTTGGGGTTAACATTTTCCAAATAAATGTTACTTACTACTCCATGATGGTTGCCACGTTTCAGGATGATGCCCTGAAATGCTTAAACAAATTTTCTTCCCCACTTCAAACCTGCCATTGGCCTTCAAAGGAAGAAGAAGAATACAATAAAACACGCTGGAAGTTAGCTCTTGGGTTTTGGTACATGCTGTAAAAATCCTGATCAAACAAATCTATATGCAAACAACACTTGAAAATGACATTACTGTCAACCTCACAAAACTGTCATTCAGCCTTCTGAACAAATCCTGCCATCTGCCTCTATGCATGAAGAAACCCTGATACCTCACATGTCCCAACGTAACATGGTGGCTTGCCTGTTGCTCTTGTAACCCACAAACAACATGCGGACAGCCTGAAAAGCTACAGTTCTATGAAACCAGGCACAACTGCAGGCCTTTGTCCCAAACTATAGCTCTGCCTTCCTACATGTGACAAACGTTCTCCAACAGAGACCAAGCAGGCCCATAGAGAGCATAGAAGATTAGACAATCACATCAGCAATGTCACTACTCCTGAAGAAAGCTTACATTTATTAGCCTCAAAGTTACATGCAATTACAGAATACCAAAGTCACTTTGAAAGACTTCTGGTCTTAAATTGGCAGCATTAACTGTACTATGCCACCTTTCTTACAAAAACTACCTTAAATTCCAAGAATCTCCCACTCAGACACCTACAGTTAAACTGATGATGTAAAAAGAAGAAACTAGTAAACATGCTTACCGTCAGCAAAATAATGCTGGGTGGTTTCATGGGATATTCAGGTGGTAGTACTATTCGCCCGTGATAAATCCCTCCATCAAAATCTGAATCTGGAGGGCCTCTAACAGTAAAGTGCCATTCAAAAAGATTATCCTAAAACACCCCCAACAAAGGGAGAAGACCAAAAAACAGAGAGTGTTAACAAAGTAGACAACTAAACACCATTTTTTTGAATAAGGACATGTTAAAGAAACAGTCCACAGTGTAAGTTTTAAGAAACCAAAATCAAATGAAGAGTAAGACAACCAGCACCGTACTAAGATTCTGGTTAAGAGGATAAAATATTGTCGATTTCTGGTAATTTTCTTACACAATGGCTTTGTTGAACCCCCCCAATTCATTATTCAAGCTCTTCATTCTAGTTGCGTTAATTATGACAAGAGTTTTATTACCCAACAGATGGAAAACAGAGTCAACTAAGGGAAAACTAGGTCTTTGCCCCAGTGAGTAATAATTTCTGGTCAACTGATGGAGACCCACTCAAGAAAGAACATTAGCAAGTCTCTCCAAAGCTCCTTCCATGGCCAACTCGGCACTGGGACTTGACTAACACTCCAGAGAATTCCCATCCTCTTGCTTGTCCATAAACAATTTTGAAACAGCTATTGTGCCTTACTGCACAACAGGTACACTTTGAAATTTTGAATATCATTTTCATCGAACATGTAACTAACTTCTCTTCGAGCACTTTTTCTTTGGAGTTCTGTGTTTTGCTTTGTGTATCAGATCTCATGCTGCCCACACTGAATACTTAACAAGCAGAACAACTCCTACTGTTAGGACAGGAGTGCAAATGAGGCTTGTTGTCAGTAAACAAGAGCTCTCAACTAACACTGAACACTGTTATCACAGGGCTGTGGCTGCCAAGCTAGTTACAACTTTTTCAGGGATAGGAGTCCTCAACATTTCCAGCATTTCCTTTCATTTGCGCCTGTTCTCTTCCCAGCAAGTCACTGCTCTAACTCAGAAATAAGACCTTCATGTAAGTTACAAGCAGTAGCATGAATTAAACCTCACACTTCTCCACAGGAAGGTGCAGTCAAAAACTAGTCAATAATAAAGTACATCCTGTAGCACCTATTTTCTGTATGTATACTAAGTGTGCTATGCATTTCTACGAACAGTTAAATCAAACCCTGAACTGAATACCACAGAACAGTGTTTTTTTTTATTATTCCAGGGAAATTAGAAGGGGTTTCTGCTTAGCTTTTAGCCACCAGAACTTCGCTATCCTCTCAGCCCAGAAACTTAACTGGGTGTTCAGAAGACTCCAAGAAACTACTGTTTAAGTGGAATATAAGCAGTCTCTCTTATAATGCATCCAGAGATGCTTTTTCACAGGTGTTTTCGTATGCAAAATCCTCATAGATCACCTAGGCCCAAGTGTTTTGTTAAGTAAATCAGCAACTGAGCCAGATGTCAGGTCTGGGTATAAAAAGCTTAATTTAAACATAATGCATTTATGCAGTCTCAGGAAGGAGAAAGTGGAACAAACATAACTGTGCAATAAAATTACTCAGATGCAGTGTAAAACTGATATTACGTACTTTCAGCAACAACCTGGAACTACAATGCCATTAAAGTGGAATTCTGCTGCTAGTTTTCATCATGGGTAAAAAATAGATGACCCATGGTTAAAAGGTCTGCTAGTACTTAAATATGTACATTTTAAATACGTATGCATACAGAGAACTTAGCCTAATTACAAGCTCTTGCAAACACATAGAGAAGCAAACCTCCAAAGGCTGTGCATGATAATGATCTGTAGGATCCTTCAGCTCTGCAGCCTCCTTCATCAAACGCTTGACAGCTGAAAAAGAGAAAGTTTAAGACATGAAAATAAAGAAAAATTTACATGTTTTGCATACAAAAATACATAAACAGTTCTTGAAGAGCTCCTTTCAGCTAACTAATCTTTTCTAGCACATACCAGCTTCTGCACTGGAGTTATGATCCAAGACACAATACAAACTACTCACACTGAATAAATCCTAAGTGAGTTACATAAGCACAAAGTTATGAAAAATATGTTGCATGGCCACAGAGTTTCTCAACAATGAACACTGGAGCTAAAGTAGCTTTTCATTTACTGACACTCGGAGAAAGGGTTCGTACCCAGCCTACCAGCATGAAAGTGCACAAGGGATCTTTTGCAGCACACATCGGATTTGTCTAGAAAAAAACAGCCTTTTGATTGCATAGCTCCAAGGCTGTACCCTGGATGTGAGCGCCAGTGGCTGGCAGGCAGAAACAGAATCAAGGGTTTGCACTGAGAAGTAACAGCAGCCAGGTGGGGACAACCAGCAAGTGGGATCCTGTCAAGTAGAATTTTAAATGGAAGAAGTTTAAAGTATACATTTTTGTCACATATTTTTGTATTTAATTGACAGTGATATTGTATGTATTTTTTTCCACAGCATTAAGTTTATTATCAAGAAGCCAGACTATAGATATCGTAAGCCAGCATAAAATGCTGAAAGAATATGAAAATTATTCCACTCTCAGAGTATGAAATACAGCAAAATATATGATGTAGCTTTAGTGTAATAGAAATAACTTGCTTGTAAGAAGTTTTCAGTATTAAGCAACCTAGGGTATCTTAAAAAGCACAAGTCTATGAAGAAAGGCTGAGAGGTAGAGTTGTTCAGCCTAAATAGAAGGCTCTGGAGAGCCTTTACTGAGTCTTTCAGTACTTAAGAGGGACTTCTTAAGTAAGACTTTTTACCACAGCCTGTACAGACAGGTCATGGGGAAATGGCTTTAAACAGGAAGAGGGCCGGTTTAGACTGGACATTAGGAAGAAATTTGTCACTATGAGGGTGGTGAGGCACTGGCACAGGTTGCCCAGAGAAGCTGTGGCTGTCCCACCTCTGGCAGTGTTCAAAGCCAAGATCGACAGGGCTTTGAGCAACCTGGTCTAGTGTGAGGTGTCCCTGGTCACGGCAGAAGTGTTGGAACTGGAAGAGCTTTAAGGTCCCTTCCAACCCAAACCATTCTATGATTCTGTTTCCATGCCCCAGAATGTTAACTGACAGGACGCAAAGAACAGTCTGAACCAATAAAAGTTCATTCTGAGAATGTGTGATCCAGTGAAGAGATCGTTAAACTGCTCCTTCTTTAAGTATAGCTGCAGCATTCATTAACACAGCTCCTTCTCTGGCTAGTCAAAGCTGCAACAGATTAAAAAAAAAAGCCAAACCCACCATAATTCACAAAGTCTGCCTTGCAACAAGTACATAACATTCTTTTCTAAACTTCATTAGAAAGAACCTTGATGCAAAATATGGTATTTCAACCCACTTAAAATCACATTGAGTCATCTGACCAAACATTTAGCAATGGCAATTCTGAGAAATAAGACTGGTTTCGGTCTATTCAAAATGAAGAATTACGAATTGTCAATAATCAGAAAGTATCACTAATTCAGAAAAACCAGATTTCAAATCAAGACATTCTATTTTTTAAAGCCAGGCTTTAGAGACAAAATAATCGAGGTACTTTTTTACGTGGCATAAGAGTCAGCATGAAAAATAACCATGCTTTCACAGGTACACTCACAGGCAACAATTTATCATAATGATCACTGAAATTATATGCTGATGAAATTAAGCTTCTGGGCTGACTCCTGAGAGTAATGTTTCTGCCCTGGGAGGAGGTGAAGGATCTTTCCGCTGCTCTGGGGAACAAAAGGAAGAACGGGTGCTATGGGTCAGAGGCTCTGCCTGACAATCTGGCTCTTACATTACACAAAACTGACCGAATTCTTCTGAAAAGCAAAATGCTATGTTAAAATTCTGAGAATCAGTTTGAAAGCCACCAGCTTCCCTAAGGATTAAGCGGTGGTGGCATAAAAATTAATGAGCAAAATTTGTGTAATATCTGTATGGGTGATTTTTTGGATTTATTTCTTTCAAAAATTGTTCCCTGGTCAAATCCTACTTCTTATTAAAGTTTACTTTAAGCTCTCCTGAAATTTCTGTTTAACACAATTGCTTCTCTTGGATAACACGGGTAGAGGTGAGGTGGGTGACACTAATCAAACCCATGTTAGGAGGTATCAGTTCAGCAAGGCTCAGCCCCTAGTACATCACACGAAGATGACTGAAGTGAAACAAATTCATATTTCAGTGATATGGGTTGTATGTGACAACATTTTCCTCAAATGGATACCAACCATTCCACTCTACCAATTTGTAGTTCTTCTGTTTGAAAAAAGACATAATAAACAAAGGAGCCCAAACCAGCTGGCATAAAGCTGGAGATCTCTTAACCTTTCAAGCTGGCTTATCTGATCTGTGAAAAAAAAAAAAAGAATAAAACAACCTGACAACTTGTACTGCTTCAGCGAATGCTTTCTATTTTTTTATTTTTTTAATGGCTTCTATTTTTTTTTCTTCATTTTAAGTAAGATTTAGAGGTCTACTCAGGAGAAATATAGAAAAAGAGTAATTTTGTCCCCATGGCTGACCAAAACAGTATAGGTAAGGATACAATTTACTTATCAAATCCAGGTTTTCCAACGAATTAGTGAACCTCTTGCAAAGCTTCTCTGGGATAAAGGGGTTTATAACTACTCTGCCCACTTAAGCTATTAGTAAAATACAAGTCAAATTCATTATGTGCTTGTCTATTAATAATGCTACTATGTACAACTTGGAAAAATATTAGATAATAATGTTAGAAAAATTAAAAGTTTGAAACCACAGAATCAATTTGAATTGAGTATCAAGGCCCTTCAATTAGATGACACATGCATCATGGATGACACTTTGGGAAAGTCTTTTTTAAATCCATCTGGCCTTGAGATTTCCCCCTCTGCTCAGTACCCGACCAATTGAGCCAAGAGTCTCTGATCCATGGTGGGTGTAACCCACTGAGCTCACAGTGTCACCTGCTGAACCACCACCACAACCAGCCCTTGCAGCAGCCCAAAGCACCTGGGAACTAATTCAAAGTGCCTGTATTTGCATTCAAAATAAAATCCCTAAATTTCACATAACAGTAAATCACAGGCAGTCAGCAGTTCAACTTCGCAAAGACTGGATCTGCAATTTAAGTCAGGATTCACTTACATGTAAAGTACATATGATTTCTTGTAAGACAACACTGATGAGGAGTTTGACATTTTAAGTAAAAAAAAAAAAAAAAAAATCCCTTTAAGTGATGTGGTGACTAAAGCATGCAAGAAAATACTTAAAGCAAAGAACCATAGGAGAGGCTTCAGCCAAAAGTACCCTGAAATATAAATTAGAATTCTTTAGCAGAACAGAGTATTGAATGGTACCTACTCTAGAAATAAAACCACATTACCAAACTTTCAAGTGAGGTCCACATTACTAATGATCTTCTCTGCCTCTGCATTCTTCACGATTATTCATTTTGCCCTGCCTTTCTTAACCTAAGTTCACATCTGTCTTTAGATAGATTTTTGAGTTCCCGTATATATTTTTGTATGCCATTTCACAAAAATACAGAATCATAGAACAGTTACAGTTGGAAAGGACCTTAAGATTATCCAGTTCCAACACCCTGTACTTTCATAAGATTTTGCACAGCAGTTTACAGTCACTTAGTCTTTAATCATGACCACATTTAAAGTTTCATTATGCAATGATACCTGATCCTTCAGAACAGCATGTCCTAGTCACATCCATCCAAAACAAAATCCCTCAAGAGAAATTAAACTGCCAGTTGGGCAAGCCCTTAAAACACTGATGAGGAAAACATGCTTCATATTCTGTTTCTTTAAAGCTCTTTTACAAAGCATTCCTTACTGCTCAGTCTATGATGGGACAATGCTCTGACAACTCAGTAACAGAGGTATGTAGAAACAGGCAACCTTTTAACAGACCATGCAGAGATTTCCAGATTTTTCAGTCTTTTGGAACAAGGAAGCCAGCAGTGGAAAAAACCCGTAATACTATTGATCCTTCCCATACCACTAGTGACCACCTTATCAAACCTACATCCTCCAGCACTAGAGGAATGGGCAAAATAAAGAGTTAAAACTTCAGTTCTGGGTGATCCGCATCACCATTTTAAAGTCACCTCTATCAAAATCTACCATAGTTTCATTATTCCAAATACCATAATCTGTAGAACACCATTTCTCCATACTAGGTAATTACTTTTCTAACTAAATGCAAGTGGAAACAATGAAGTTCCTCATCACTCGCTGCTTCTGTGGTGTTTTCCACTAGTCAAGTTCCCATTTTATGCTGATCACATGTAACAAGACAAAACGCTTGCTTCTACAAAACTGAAGTGTATGATGACAGAACTGCACAACTGCCTGGGCCAACCATGGGTTCCAAAATTGCTTTTATTTTAAAATTTGGTTTGATAGTTCCTTTGACATGGCCAATGGCCTTTCCAAAGACCCAGAAGCCTCCTGAAGAGCTGCTTTACATCTTATCAGCCTCATGCTATCCTTTGGCAAGACCCACAAGCCTCCTGTACTTACATAAAGTGTTCACGACTGTGAACAACAAAACAAATCTTTGTTAGTCCATTCTCTTTCAGAAATGACAGGCCTTTAGTCCTCACTTCCCTCAGAGTCGCAGTAAGTACAGTACTCTTCTGTAATCACAATTCAAAACAACTGTTCAGTCAACACAAAGGGAGATAAAACAAACGTAAGGTGCTTGTTGAATGCACCAACATGTAACAATGTCTTCATCCTTAATCAATTTTTAACATCCACTCAACTTTTTATTTTTACAAAATCTATCTTTATTTCATACCTGGAAAGTACTAAGCAGCACAGTACTTACTGGCTATTTCCTACTAACCATTTTTTAACAACAAGGAACCGATGAATGCTTGTTGACAAGGAACACTTCTTACTTGGATGGAGCGGAGAAGGAAGTACAGTTCGTAAGAAAGGCAGTAAATGTGCTGAAGACGACAGGTAAGAGGGTCACAGTCTCAGCACATCATCAGTCAGAAACCAAAAGCCCTGTTCCTGGGCAGCAAATGGAGGGCACGCACACCATGCCTCTCTCCACATGCTCTCCCCATACCTCCAGTGCCCTCAGGAGTCTAATTCTAGGCGAGGAGGTCAGCTGAAAACAAAATAAAAACCCTGTCAAAACGAAAATAAAACAGCACGGTTGTTCATAGTCTCTACATGAGTCACTCTAGGTGGCTGTTCACAGTTTTTCAGTAACCGAAATGCCCTACCTGAAAGGGAGAGATTGTTACTACAAAACACTGACTACGAGATATGGTGGCTGATCTTGCAGGCAGGCTAAGGGTCACAACTCTTAGGAAAAAAGTAAAGAGATTATTCCAAATATCTCTCTCATAAAATTTCAGAAAATAGGGATGTTCCTGAAGCATGAAGAGGATGAAGTCTGTGCTTCAGTGAGTCAAGCTTTAATATTGACGGGAGAGGTTTATCGTCCATACGGTAGCAGGCTGATATACATTGACTAATCCATTTTGAAATCCTAAGACAGAAAATAGCTTGCCCTTTTACAAGTGCCAAAAATACAAATAAAAATATGAAGCAACAGCTTAAAAGGCTTTGCCTTATTGAAGCAATACAAAGAAGCATGAAGCGTAGAGTTTGAAAATTTCTTCCCTTCCAAAATTAATGGTCTTTTGGATAAGAAATAAAGACATATTGACAGATGGTGTGAGGAGACAGCTTGAGGCAAATGCCACTATACCTTTTTGCTCTCACAGAGGGTAACTGATAGAGCCAAAGAGCAGCTTAGCACACCACCCTCACCAAGCCCAGACCTGCAGTGGTGAGGACGTGTACCTACAGTAAACTGAGACCTGCTAAGGACACCAGCTGTGTTGCTTCTCATCAACAGAGACACAGTGTGCACAGGAACACTTGTTTCGCATTGTGGAGAGTTTCCATCTTTCAGATATGTTTGTTTGAACTAACATTAGCTGAATAAAATGGAACAAGGAAGATGATGAATAAATTGACCAGGAGCTATTAGAGCAGAATAAAGCTGTGTAGCAACACTGTTCTTTATGTGGTCTATTTGAAAGCACACAGAAAGAAAGGCACTAGAGAGCTTAACTGATCCTCATCAATCTGGCATAACACACCTACTCACATAAGAGGGATCCATGCAGCCATGTGTAACCACAGAAAAACTTCAGCTCCTGTCATTGCTCTACAACAGAATCTGGCTTGAAAGGAAGATCAATAAAACCACAGGTTTCTTTTAACAAGATTTTCCAATTTAAGATGTGTTTTCCTCTATGGTAAAGACTAGTATAATCATTAAAATACCTTATACTAAAACTGAAATAGTATTTGCTCTTTCTGCTGAGCAGGCAAAAAGTCACCATCTGCGAACAGTTTGCTCAAGTCCAAAAGCAGATCTGAACAGGAGAAGCTTCTTGTGCAGGTACGAAACAATTACTTTTTTTACTCTGTCTCAAGATAGCACATTCCAAATCCCTAAAGCTAACCAGGATCTAAAGGTTAGCAGCTTGATTCTTCCTCTAGTCAAGTCAGAGCAACAAGACCAGGCACAAGGGACAGCTACCAGTTCTAAAGCCTTTAGGCAGCTCAGTCACCAAAATAATCCCTTCCATTTGCAGACAACACAATCATCTGAAATAGGAAACATGATATGGGTTTGGCTTTATGCATTTCAGTGCATTTACATCAATTAAGACCACCTTAATATCAGAATGATCTACATTTCCAATGCATGCCTTCAGTTGAGTGGCAAGTGTAAGATAGATACCATCATTAAACTGCACATGTAACATGTAGGATAAGAATTTGTAGAACAGACACAAAAATATTAAGTAATTGCATATGCTTATCTACCTGGGTAGCAAGAAAAGTGCTTTACTAAAAGCAATGGCTATACATAATTACAGCCAATTTATTTCAGTGGACAACTGCTGAAAAAACTGTTTACTTTAAATCTTTTTTGATATTTATTCAACACCTCCCTGCCCATCTTTCTTTTATGGAAAATTTCATGCATATTGAGAATTGAAATGAGTGCTTTAAATCACATTATAGAGACTTTAAAAGTGATTTAAATAATTTATAGATTTTCAGCATCTATATGGAAAGAAATAATTCAATACATTAATATGTTATAGAGCATGTTTAATTTGGGGAAACAATATTGACCCACTGCATGAATCATTCGCCTCTGCCAAATAAGGTTCACTTTGCTATAGAACAGCAGAGGTGCTGACAACCAATTCCAGTAAAGGTAATTTTCTCTTTAAAACAAGGGGAACTAGGAAGAACAGAGGGGCAGAACATTTCTAAATTAAACCACAACTATTTACCCTCTCCAATCAGAAAGCATGTCATACAGCACACCACCACTATCCACCACCCACACTTTCCAATAACATGGCAAACCACACTTAGAGAACATGCTCCTGGCCTTGTGAATTCACACGTGCAACACACCCAGCAGCCCTCCCTAAAACAAAAGCAACCCAACAAAACAAAAAAAGCTTCCTTTCTAATACATTAAGCTATAACAAGTACATCATTTGCTTTGTGATCCTTCTTATCGTTCAGTTATGCAACATGGGTGTGAGGGCAAAGGACATAATTTAGCAATAGATACATCATCCAGGAGGCACATTTTGTAAATAAGCCTGTAATTTACATTTATAAGGTACAAGTCATCTTAACACTCAGTTTCTCCCCACCACCCATACAAGCAATAGCACTAGTAATAGAATAAAGCCACTACTCAAAATAGTAATATGAAGGAGTTAATACCTAATTCCCAAAACTGGACTGGGGGAAAGCAGGGGCAGGTCAAGAGCCACCATGCAAACCCGACTAGCCCTTACTAAGGAAGAGGGTTTTCCTTCAGCAGTGACAGCATGCAGCTCGAAGAGGTGAAGCCCTGAACAGCTGGTGAGGGGAAATGGCTCCAACACAGCTGTATGGGACAAACCCAACCCATCCTCAGTTTCTCTTCCCAGGAAGCAAACCCTTCCCTTCCAGCACTGTTTCTCAAGACGTATGCCACATTCTGAAGCATTCTTCTCACTTCAAGGATTCAACAGAAAGTCTAGGAGTTATTTTAACACTTAATCCCATATACACACATACATGTAAATACAGTGTGTACAGTAACACTGACGTAAAGCAAATTTACGCAGCACAGACTAAGCTGTCATTGGCAATCTGTCCCCTCACAAGCACCTACTTAGAAATGAGGCAATACCCAGGAGAACAGAGTACAAGTTCAAAGGTTCTGCTTCCACGAACCAGCAGGAAAGAGTGACCACACGTACACACACACACACACACACACACACACACACGTACACACACAGAGCGGGTAGCCTGAGCATTCTAAACCGAATTACAGCGCAGAGGGACTTTCCACTGCCATCACACTGCGAAGCAGAAGCGACCCAGCCGCCTGAGCGCCTCCACCTCCCCACGGCCATCCCCGGGGCCCAGGGCCCCATCCTTCCTCCGCACCGCCGCCTCGGCCCGGGTTGAGGCACCTGTCCCCCCGCGCCCCGGGAGGCGACTGCCAGCTCCGGGAGACGACTGCCGGCCCCCGCGAGCAGCAGCGGCCCCGGGGCGGGCACACCGCCCGCCGCGAATGGCGGAGGCCTCGACAGCCTGCAGCCGCGCAGCCCCGCCCGGCCGCGGCCTCCTTAGCACCCGCCGGGGCCTGCCGCGTCTCCTACCCGGACTCTTGAGGTTGTACCGGGCCTCCATGGCAGCAGGCACCGCCGCTCGCTCGCTTCCTCCTCAGCGTCTCCACCAGCGGGGGCCGGGGATGGAGGAGGAGAGAGACCGGGCCCTGCCCAGCCCGCCTCGCCTCGGGAAACTCCCCTGACGTGGCAGCGGCGCCGGCGGCCCCGCCGTGACCGCGGAGGGAGGCACCTGCCGCGCCGGCACCGCCCCTGGGCCTCGTTGTCCCGCCCCGTCAGCCGGGGCTGGGAGCAGGCAGAGCAGCCGGGCGCGGGCGCTCCGCCGCCCCAAAAGGGCAGGTGGCGGTGGGCGGTGAAGGTCCGTATGGTTGTGTCGCAGAGGTTAAGATGCACAGCGCGCCCGTCGTCTGTAGTAGCGTGGGAGAAGCAGCCAGTTTCCAGCAGCAGTAGGTACAACTCGGGCCCCACAGCAGAACAGCGGCTCCGGGGGCAGCCTTATCCGTGCCACAGTGGTAGAGGAATGTAGCTACAGCTTTGGTTTCTTTGCCACCTGGTTACAGCCACACCACGCTTGGGATAGCGCTTTTAAGAATTCGTACTTAAGGAAATACGTCAATTATAGTGGTCATAATCTCCACGGTCTCTGATTCCTTTTGATTCAGTACAAGCTGTAAATAAGAATCAGTGAGCTTTTATGTTGTCTTCAACAACATAAACTTGAAATTCCTGTCTCTACCTCACTAATTCTTGTCTAGATTCTTAATTTCATCTAAGTTACTTTTACATTGTTCCTGTTCATCTTTAAGAAACAATGTTTTACATGCTTTGCTATCTCTATTTCTCTTTTCCTTCTTTGACTGAAAAGCAATGGAGAACAGCTGTAAACAAAAACAGTCAATTTTTTCACCTCTTTGTGTTACCAGAATTGCAGAACAAGGCATTACTCTTCCCTTTCGTGTTCTTTTGCACAGTGATGTTGTGGTAGCAGCAATAAATAAAGCAACTTTACTTCACCTTAATGAGGAGCTGAATTTTCAAAGAGATCTTCCTCTTTACAGGACACAGCACTACAAATAATGTAAAGCATAAGTAATGGGTATAGTAGAAGGGAAGGGATGGCATCAGACATTAGGGTTCCCTCTTACACCAAAAGCACCTCAGGGTACATTTAATGGCCAACAATTCTTGATGGTGTTCCAGCATGTCTGGCTAACAAGGGCTTATCTGACAGCTGGAGATGATGAGGTACAGGCAATAAGGGTCATGTTTGCAAGGATGTTGGGCATTCTTAGGAACTATGTCCCATCTTCCCTTGTTTGCCAGAGCCATTGTGCTGTACAGCAGGAGAAGGCCTCTGGGACCAACTGTGACTAGACCTTGCCCTGGCCCAAAGTGGGAGAGCAGTATTTTGCATCTGGAAATCTGGGCTTCCATGTAAAAAGTTCTGGGATCTATTTCGATAGAAGATAGTTTTTTTAAGTGTTATTTTAAAAAAAATTAAAATTAAAAATATTTTTAAAGTGTTGTGTTTTTTTTAAGTGTTATTATAATGTGGTATGAATTGAGAAGTGATAGTTATTGTGAACTAGTTAAGAGTAATGTGGAGTTCAGCTTTCCCTTCTGGGCTCTGGCCTTTGACCCTGGCTGCACTTACAGTGTCATTTTGTGTATTGCAAGGAGGAAGCACCTGCAGCTAACATGAAACTTGGGCTTTTTGTTAAAAAAAAAAGAAATAACTCAGTCACTGCACCCACAGGACAGCTAAGTATTATTGAAAATAAGCTGAATAGACTTAAGCTGTAAGTAACAGAAATTAAGTGGTAGGACAGAGGTACACATTTTCTCCATTTGAGTAAGCTACCTTGTGGCCTGGCTGTGTGCTGGGGCCATCGCCTGGTGGAATTGTGCAGAGCTAGCAGTACAAGACCGCTTTCATTACCAGCTGTATTGTTAGTTCAAAGCTAGGGTGCCAGGTGAACCATCAGTTCCTGTGAGGTAGCCAGTACACAGGCAGAAATCAGGATTAATTCCCAGCCCCGCATGTTAGCAGACAAGGAGCAGGGACTGCAGAGCTCTTGCACAGTCAGTGTTGCTAGTCCGGAGCAGCAGCCTGCCTCATCTTCCTGCCTGTGATCAGAAATACCCTATGGATTTGTGTTTTCATATGCCTTTTGTTTAGGATTTTGCATGAAGAAGCCATTTTGTGCTAGACCGTGGGTTTTTTTAAAACCAAATGCCAAATAAAGTAGCAAAATTGCAGTCAAATCATGCATGCTGGCAGTACTTCATGTAGCTTGTGTATCCTGTCATATGATCTAACTTGGTGAAAAAATAAACATGCTCAGCTGAAGCATACAGAAACTGAAAGTCTGCCTGAACACTGCTGCAACAAAGATTTACTCATTTAACACCACGCTGAATCCTTCCAGAAAGAGCTTGTATAACTTCATCAACTTGGCTGCAGGACAACAAAGAATCACTAGTTTTGACGACTCAAAATATTAAAACTTGTGTGGCTTTTTAAAGCCACAAAACATTTAATTTTTTAAAAGTTTTACATTGAAGTAAGTTTGGCAAAAAAAATTACTAATAATTTCTAACAAATTTTTTTTTTATGTCTATTTTCCTAGAGGATGTTTTTGGTCATGTTTCTACATCTTTTTTGCAGATGTGGTATACTGACCTTTTTTTTCTTTTGGATGAAAACAGAGACTCTGATACAGCCACTTAGCTTCAGAGCAAGGGAACATATAGGCCCCTCTGCTGCAAATAATGTTACAAGATTAATTTCAATCGTAAGGTTTGATAAAATGCATAATTCTTCAATTGCGGACATTTCTACTGTGAAAGAAAAGCCAAATGAGAGTAAACATATGGGCAGAATTCCATAGACCATTGTAGACTATGGATATACATTTCTGAGCTGATTACGAGAGGCTCACTTTATAGCTAATGGAGAGGACCAGGAGCTTTTACAGCAGAGTTCATCTTACCTGGAATAGATGTTAGCTGTAGATCCAACAAATCATGTTTCAAAAGTTCCTGAATTTCTCCGTTAGTTGCAAAGGGGGATTAGTCTCAGTCATCTGTGTTCTACACTGTCCTAGTTAGATATTTTCATATGCATGTGTGGCTGAATTTGATATATATAGCTCTCTCTATCTGATACAAATGCATCATGAATTTCCCCTCAGTTTAAAGCAAAAGTTTCAGTTGATAGAGCCTCTTATTTTTACAGAAAGACTCTGGATGAACTAACTTTAAAGGTCCAAGAGGGGAGCTCAGCAGGTAGGAATTGGAATGGGAGTTCAAGCAGAGCTGGGGGCATGGACACCAAGAGGCTTCCAGCAGGAGCCTCCAAAGAGGGGGTTACTGCAGAAACCTCCAGTTTCAATTAGAGGCAGGACAACTGTGGCACATGGGTTCAGGTTTTGCGCTTGGGTCTGACATATCAGTGTGTATATTCTTGCAGATCTCAAGGAATTAAATTGGTAATGTGACATTGAACTATTGTGTATTTATCTGTGCAGGGCATATTAATTGTGTGAGCGATTTCCTAGTCATTTCAGAGTGGGGTTTGTGTGCTTTATAAGCTGTCTCATAAACTCAGCTACAAATAATTTCTTCTAGAGAAGGCCTGAGATCACAAAAGCTCGTGAAAATACGATAGTTCTTTGTACAAAGCATTTACACCCTGCTTTCACCAATTCACAAAATGTAGAGCGGTTTGCTTCATTTACAATGCTACCCTTTCAATAGAGACAGTTTGGCTGCAGAATTAAACTCTTGGAATTAAAGGATCTAATATTAATATGCCTATATTGTCAGTGGAAACAGCTATGACTCACTTGGAAGAGAAATCATTATTGTGCTCATTGGTGACTAACACAGTCTCAGCTTTTTAAATCCTTTATGTGAATTCAGACCTGGTAGATCTGGATTCAACAAGCACACCTCCTCCTCACCGATAAAAACAAGCGTGGCATTGTGTAACCAATGCCCTACAGCAATTGCACAGATGCATGGTGCTTCTCAGGAAAGCAATTACTGTCTTTTCTTCAAGCTTAGTTCTAAAGCTGCCGTCTCACAAAACGGGTGGCTTTACCAGCTGACTATTAATTAGTGCTATTTCAGAAATGGAAGAAAGAGAATGAGGGAAGAAGTTTCCTGACTGCCGTAGCTGCCCAAGAGGGTGCCTGATCTGGACCATCAGTGCAGAGTGTGGGACATCTTGCAGCACTCCACATTATGTGAAGCCAAAATGAAGGTACTTATTTTTAACCTTTTTTATACCCCTGAAGAATGCGAAGACTCACGCCAGTCACTTGACTCACATCCCTCTGGCATCATTGTTGTAATGGTTCAGATGGTTCCTGGTTCAGAAGAAACGTGCAAAGGCGCAAGTCAGAGCTGACGCAGCTGTCCTAGTGACAGCTGTTTGTGACTGGACTTCCCTGATCTAGTTACTCTATCTTTAGGAGCTACACATAATGGCATGCTTTTTCTCTGGTGCATATTCTTTACCACACAAATTGCAAAGAGCAGTGGATAGTTGGAGAATGGTTGTGAACTATTCTGATTAAAACTTGCTTTGCTGCTGCCACTATTTAGGGAGAAAATGCCAGGCATGGCCTTCGACTCATGCAGCCACTTTTTCATACTCCTCCCTCTTCGGGCCCCAGATTTTCTTTTCAGCATGTTTTGCTTACGTGAGTTGCTCCCCATGCTCCTGCATTTCAACTTACTCCCATAAGCTTCCTTCTGGGATGGGAGCACCTGCCTTTACAATTACAAGAAAACCAGAGAGAAAGGAGTCTGTTGGACTGCCATCAAGCAGTATTTCCACCCCATGCATTCCAAAAATGTTACTCACAACTCTAATGTGAACTTGCATGTACCTGCTTGCATACAGCTGACTGCATATATCTCATACTGACTCAGCAATGGGAATAAAGGATTTATGAGCAGGCTCTTAATTTAAAGCTCCTCAAAAAGTTTTTTACAACTGGTGTGAGGATGATTAAAGCTTACTGGGTCATTAACCAAGATATATACTTGTCTCTGCCAGTCCCCTGTGGGTATCTGGGACACCCAGGAGTTTCTCAAGATGGTTAGTGGAAATCTAGGGCTTGATTCACGTGCACACACATAAACATCTGATGCTATATGAGGTATCCTAAGGTAAGCCACACATCCATGTGGAGCAGAATGATACAGAATCATAGAATG